ACTCATGCATAGGAGCCTTTGGTTCATGCAGTTAGTTGCAGATGTAGCCTTGGAGTTTATGTCTTGCGCTGCATATCAAGTGTGACGCGTAGAAAAAGCTTCTGGTTGATGCAATCTGATATGTTTCTACAGCCATAGAGTCTACGTCTAGCCCTACGTATCAGATATGATCCACGAGAGCAGCCTCTACTAGTTCATGCAATCTGATTTGCCTCTGTAGCGGTGTCCAGATCTCTGGTCTCCATCCTGCCTAGCTACTGCGAATCGTAATGCATGTCTCACCTCTTCGAGCGACACCAGCAATCCACGCTTGTTAGCAGCCACTCGGCCGTACTTGCGCCTAGTCCACCGGGTTCTAACATCTTGATCTCATGAGTTTCCTACCGTGATAGGCGATCATCGAGACAACCTCAGCCAATAGACATGGCTACATGATCGAGAAGAAACCGGGACGGGCTTGCTGACGTGCAGAGCGCCGTGCAAGCCGTGCAAGCCGCGCGAGCCAGCTCTTCTGGTTCTGTGCGCGGCTGGATGCGGATGGGTTAGGTGCCGGGTGTGCAATGCAGCCAGTCAGTCAGTCAGTCACCCAGTCAAGTTTTCTGGCAGGATGGCTGACACCCACTGTATTACAGGGGACAAAGGATGGGCGGGTTCACCCGGAGTGCTGGATGGACCACATGGATGGCCTCGTGTCGCGCGCACGCAGTCCAATCCGGGTCCTTTTGTTTGGAGAGGAGGGGAAAGGGAGGGCTGGGTCGCGAGATTCGAGGCCTGGGAGGAGAAGGAAGATCCACCAAAGCTGAGTGAGAGATGCGTGTCTGGATGGCTGGATGGCTGGAGCATCTGAAAGAGACGGGCCTATCCCCTAGATAGGTAGAGGTCAGGCCAGGCCCGTGAGGAGTGAGATGGCCTCGTTGAGAGTGTGAGAGGGTAAGGTAAGGTCGGGAAGGCAGAAGAGTCAGACGACTGATTGGACGATACACAGACGGAGGAGGGCTGGCCGACTCAAAGAGTTGAGAAGCGCAACTGCTCTCATGGCAACAGCAACACCAATACCAACCTCAGCCATGCAGCGAGACGGAGTCCCGGCGAGAAGGTTGCAGAGCGAAGAGGCTGGCGGGCGGTGATTGGGCGCCGCGTGGTAAGGTGACTGGGTTGGCAGCAGGTCGAGCCCGGGGCTGGGTGGTGGCCTGGAAAGGAGGACTGGCCAATGGGGGAGAACCACGCAGTCGAGAGGAGGCGGGGCAGGCCGGGATAGGTTGGCTGGAGTGGCCAGGCCACGAGTGATGGGAGATCAAGAATGTGTGAGAGACAGAGAAGGGAAAAGGCGGATCGGATGGACGATGAGATGGCAAAGCGGGAGGACAAGAGATGGTAAAGGAGACAGAATAGGAGACACGGAACGGATGCAATGCAGGGACAAGTCAGTCAGTCAACCATTGAGTTGACTACTGCCTACACCAAGTTGTGATATTATTGCTGCATGAACTACAACAACAACAACAACAACAACAACAACAACAGTGATATGAACACACTCTGTAGCATGGCTACATCTGGTTGCGCCATGTGGCAGACACACACAGACTGTACATATTCTCGCGAATACACAATCGCTCTCCATCTGTGAAATGTCATGACCTTGAGGACATTTTGCTCTCCTCAGCTTATAGTCTCATGAGGCGAGTCGAGAAGTCGAAACGGAGGAAGTGGAGACTCAACGAGTTGCCACAAGACCCTGAGCCAGCTGAGCGAGTTTAGACAAAGAGCCAACAACTGGCTCAGGAGCGGCCATCATCATACCCGAAATAAGCCAGGATTAGAGCGAGCTGAGGCGACCATGAGACGGGCGACAGGCGAAGCAAGTAGAGAGTAAACGAGAGCTCTAGACGAAGCGAGAGGATGACCCTGGCCTCTCAGCTCAACCGTTGGCTCTTCAGAAACCCGCCCGTAACCCTGAAAGTAAGTTCTTTCATGCCGGCCAACACATCCAATCGACTCACTCTTTCACCTTGCGTCGTAGCAGGCTCAACAGGCTACCTATAGGTACCAACTTAGGGAAGTACTACCCAGGTCGGTATGCTTAGGTTACCTGTGGATTAGTTAGCTGCTTTGAAGAGGCGTGCGAGGCGTGGCAGTGGAACAGTGGCTTCGTGGCTTCTCCCGCCCGCAACCGCGTCTCCCGTTGGGGTTTAGCCTCCCGTTTGCGGGCCCCAGCATTGGGCTTCCCTTCCGCTGTGAAGTTACCCCACGCTGGGCTGGCTGGCACTGGCACTGGCAGGCTGGGCTTGCCGTCCCGTACTCCGGTCGTTGTCTTGCCTCTCTTCTCTGACTTTTGACTTCTGACTTCTGACTTCTGGCTGGTGGCTGATCGATCCCAACTGGCGACAACCTCAACCTCTCTTCACCTTCCTCTTCTCTTCTCTTCTCTTTTCTTCCCATTCCATATACTTACTTACTTACCTTACTCTACCTTCCTCTGAGGCCCACACCTCCAGTGCCCTCCATGAAAGCCGTAGCTCCATCCGACGACAGCATCGCCAGCTTCTAGGCGCGGAGTTCGCTGCGACAAAGTCGAGGCTAAGACTAAGACTGGGTAGCTGTGTCTATAGGACCAGTCTTAACCTGAGCAGCCGCGAAAATAAGCGGCCCACTGGTCTCTCGGGGCATATACAGCTGACTGAGTCGAGCGATCGTGTCTGCGCGATTGCGGTAGTCGACTCCTTCCATGGGCTCGCTATGATTTCCATGCAACGATCCCTCTCTTCGCCCGTTCGCATCCACTCTGAAGCTCGTACGTTGTTACTGACTTGGACTATGACTTACTTGCGCCGCAGGACAAGCAGCTCCAGTGGACTTGAAAGACTAACATGCCTCTTACTGTAGCTGCCTCTCCCGCAGTCACACATCTATCGAGGGCACCGACGCCGCCGCCCGACCGCAGCGATGGCGATGGCTCCTCACGGCCACGCCGACGGCCCTCCCCGAACCCCTCGCACCTCACTTCCAGCTTCATTTCCCTTCCCATCCGCCGTAGCGAGGACAGCCCGAGGCGTTCCTCCTCTCACCAGGCCTCCAATTCGTTTTCAAGCCGGAAACCTGTCATAGCGCAGTCTAGCCTTCCGCCTGCATCGCCCGCTCCTGAGAGGACCGCTGACAGCCCAGAACACAATGAGGATGCTCTCCGAGACACCACTTCGCCTGTGAAAACGGCCCCTGCCCTCCGCCAGCCGCTTATACAAGATGCCTCGCTATACTCCAATCCACATCTGACACCAGAGGTCGAATGTGACACTACCAGCCTCGAAGAACTTGCCCATCTGGTCCGCCTGTCCAAGTACCAGGAGCGCAAGCGCGCAAACACCAGAGTCCGTCTCCAGCGCACTCTAGTTGCCACTGCCTTATCTGCCCGCCTAACTCGATGTGGTGAGATTGTCGAACGGAGCCTGGCCGAGTCGTTTCGTAATGGGGACAAGAGAACATTCGGGAGTCTATACAATGCCATACAGGACGTCCAAAGGAGTTGCGATGATACCCGGAAATATGCTCTATTGGACCCTGAGATGGAGGCTCTTCGATCCCCTCGGATTGGATCATCTGAAAGCCTGGACACGCCTACAGGATCGATTTCTGCCACAAGCCCCCTCGTTGGCTCCGTGATTCCTTTCCTGAATGATATCTCTGCCTCCGCAAGGGAAACTTTCCTTAGTTTCCTCACACAAATCAGGAACAATCCAGACTACCTTGCCACCAGAATCTGCTCTCTGAATACTGCCGAACTTACAGCCCTGGCAGCTTTTCACCATGATATTGAACCTGTCGAGTCGGTCCTCCCGACGTATGGACGACCCCCTGCCCGCGGTCCCGGCCATGGTGCCAGTAAGAACTCAGCCCTTGCTGTGGAGCGACTTCTTTCTTTCCAGAGACATGATCCCCTGTCCGCTCTCATACACACGTGCTTTGCCAGCTCTGCCGGTCCGGATAGCGCAGAGGACAAGCGAAGAACAGAAATATGGGCAAATGCTTGTGCTCGTCTCATTTCGGAGTCCACATCGGAATCTAGGTTCTCAATCGTCGTCTCCGTGCTCAATGCCTGGTCTGCAATGCGTGACTGGTCCGGCCGTTCAAACATGGAGTGGTACCTCATGAAGATACTCGAGGACGGTGCTTACATCCTGGACCGCGCTGAAGACCAGCATGGCACTAGGTTCAATGTGTCCGACTGGACTCCGGATCAAATGGCCGCCGAGGAATTCTACCAACGGGCCACCGAGGAGTTATTTGCCGTTTTGGATGATGAGGACGGCACTGGAATTCCCGACGGACTGATCGAAATGGGCAACCAGATCCTGAAAAGGTTAGATCATCGTTTTGGAGATAGCACGCGGAGATGGTTTGTCTACAAATGGCTCTTTTCCGTTTGGCTTCAGGGAGTTGTCATCCACCCCGAGAGCCATGGAATGATGGCTGAGTATCATATCACTCCTTATGGACGCCAAAAGATCCTCAAACAGGTTGCCACGCATGCTCAAGCTATTGTGGCCAAGATGCTCTGGTCTAACAAGCCAGTCTCTGCCTCGCCGAAGATCAAGACTCATATTGAGAACATTCTAGGCCGTTTCAAAAGTTCAAGGTCCAGGGCCAGGCCACGCTTACTGCCAGCACGTTCCATCACATCATTGAGAGAGACCGCTGAGGTCCACCCCTATTTGGTCGTCAGCCCAGCGGATTTGGTCACACTTGTGAATGCCCTGTTCCCTGAGAGACGGCCGCTGTCGTCCCGTTCCAGTAACGTACGTTCTGGTGCTCCGTCAATTTCAGGAATGTCGGCCATCTCGCAACCCATGTCCATGGCCACACAAAGCAACTTCGAGACTGCCTCTGTGCTTAGCACAAGCGTGTCATCTGCTGTTAGTGATACAACAACATCACGCGAGCCTCTCCTCGAGCAGCAGATGACAGGAGCTTCTGCCAGATCCTCACCACCTGTTCCGGACCAAATGAGCCCAGCCCGGGGAAATAACTACGAGGACGACGGCTATCGTTTGCGTCTAGCAGTCCACGAAATGAGCCAGAATCTAGGGGTCGATGTTGTGCGTGGTACTTGCCACCCTTGTGCTGAGCGATGGGCAGTCCTGTTCATCGCAGCTGATGGCAATACCCTGTCTACGAATATGACCTACGACCCGGATGATGACCCGGAGGAAGAAAACTCGTCGTCTTTGACAGACACTGACGAGGACGATGAAGCTGAGGACAGTCGCCCAGATTTGAACAAGGATTATCATCAACTACGTGATTCAATTCTGAAATTAGTCGAAGACTTTGAGATACCCCAGAGCCTGGAGGCTGATAAGGGCAAACAAACGTTTAGCAACCGGGCTTCCGGATTGAAGAAGTATCGTTCAAAGAACAAAGTCATCACTACTGAGAAGAGCATGGCCAGTCGGAATCCCTATCGACAAAAGGTGGAAGCCGAACAAAGGACTAAGGCTCCGACAGGTGAAGCATCGACTCCATCATCGCCTTCTGAAAGCAAGGAAGCTGTGGATACCGCCGAAGAGAAGACCGAGCTGTCCCCTGTACTTGTGACGATGCTCACGGCCGCCTCCTCCCAGTCGCGAGCACAATCCGACTTTGTGTCCGCTCACTTATATTGGCGAACGCTCCAGCAGCTGAATACGTTGTCCTCCGCCTCCCTTCGCGCCAATGGATTCTCCACTCTTCTACATATCTTCAGTCGTGGCCCTCGGGATTCAATACATCGATCCGCTTCTGCTATTGAGGAGTATGATGCTTGGCTGGTCTGGCTCAAGCAGTCGCAGGAACGAGCTGACGGGCTTATCGAATCCATGCTTCACCGCCTACGTGCTCTGCGTGATAAGATGTGGTACGTGACAGATGTTTGCAACTCGGCTCCGTACGAGCATTCGCGGAACATCGCTGTCGCACTGAAGGCAATGGGAACACCACGGAAAACGGATAAATACCAGCGCACACGAGGACGTGGCGAACGATTACCCGCATCCAATTTCGTTTACCGCTCAGAGAGCCAGATCGTGGATCTTCTTGCTGCCAGTGAAGATCATGGCGGACCTAATAAGCTTTCCGACGACCAGGCTGAGAAAACATCGAGGTTCCTGACCCAATACGGAATTGAGAACTTCTGTAAGGGCGAAGAGAGGATCCATCGCTTCTGCTGTGAAGTAGAGGCATGCATTGGGAAACTCGTAGGCGAGACTATGATGGATGGACCCGTCTTATGGAGCAGTGAGCTTTACCTCCGCGACAAGGCTCAGTTTGACGGAAGCAATGGTCGTCGTGACAGAGACAGTGCTGCCTTCCCTGATGACGCCAGTAGCATCATGAGCGACCCTGAGAGACGATTCACACCAGTATCCAGCCGGCCAAGCTCGATTGTTCGGGATCTTCGATCCTTGAGTGGATATAACATGTCACAACAAAGTCTCGATTCCGTGAGATATAGCTTCTCTCGCGCGAGTACCGCTCTGAGTGAGGTGTTCGATGGAACTGACTACTTCGGTGTGTCATCTCCAGTACCAACAATCGACACTGCTACAACATACTGGTCGCCATTTCAATCCGCCATCTCTCCCAGCACTGCAACATCACGCGCCCATAGTCCAACAACAAGCGTGACAAACCTGACTGGTTCGTTCTCTGGGCATGCACACCATCGCCCCTCGGCGTTCGCACATCACGCAGCTGCACGTCCTAGCACTGCTGTTTCTCTCAGCGAGTCAGTCATTCAGCAACGTCTCAGCGAAGACAAGACACGGTTCCTCGACGAGCTAAGACGTACATTGACAAGCTTGTTGCTCAGCGATCTGGGCAACATAGTGTTCTCTCGGGGTTCCGAGACTGACACTTGGTTCGGAGAGCTTGGCCAGGACTGTATCGATCGAAGGGTGGCTGCCGAGCGCAAGGCGAGACAAGCTCTGCGCGCTGAGAAGAGGCGGTCAACTAGACGTGACCTCAAACAGCGGGTTATCGAAAAGAAGAAGAGTTTCGGCGATCTTCGCGGTGCTGGCAACGGCCCCGAGCCTTCCACCACTGATCGTGCTTCACCTGATGGCCAGAACCTCGAGGTCCCATCCGCCAACAGTAATAATGGGAGTAGCAAAGTCAGCAACGATAGCTCTGCAACCAGCGACACGATCTCGGCGCGGAATCAGCCAAGCCGTAGGAAGGATTTCACAGCTGACTTTCCATTTACAAAGACCTACCAACGCCTACTACAAATGTTTTGCGTTCACCCTAATCCGTACATCAAGATGAATGCTCTTTATGAGTTAGAGCATCTTATCATTGCGTCTCTGACTTCCAATGGGTCAAGACGAAGACTAGGCGTGCATCGAGCATCCGACTTCGCGGCGGAGGATTCCTCTGCAGGGGCGCTACGTGCTAGACCGCTCGAGGAGGCAATCGACAATGTCAGGGAACGGAGAGCTCAGCCGCTTCCATCCCCCTCATCCCCAACCGCACGCATGCAGACTGGACATCTTAATGCAGAGACAAAGTCTATCATGTCTGCCAGCCCGGCGGCTACAAACACGGATGCCATCGTCATGGTCCTTCAGACCCTTTTCCGGGATCCTAGGATCAGGCCCAAGACGCTTTTCCGGGATCTACAGTTCATTGCATCTCTCGTACCATCTACTGTCCTGGATACAGAGCGCGGCAAGGCTTTCTGGGACTGTGGCCAAGCCGCGCTTGTTCTTAAAAAGGAGGTTTGCATGACCATGGTTGAGGTCGCCGACGAGGTGGTCGGCACTGTTATGGGAACTAGGCGGGAGATGCCGCCGCCGCCAGCAACAGCAAGTACCGCTTCGGTGTCAAGCGCTGGGAGCTATTCTGCCTACGGTTCCTCCACGACCGATACCCAGGCAACATCGTCAACATCCGAGCCAGCTCCGGCGAACCCCCCTACCCCACCGCCACCGACCACCGCGTATACTCTGGCTGATGCCGTCCGTATGTATACAATCACGGCTAAAGAGGGAGAGCCGACGCCACAACGGGAGTTGGCCCTTCTCATTCTCTCGAATCCTGAGCTTGTTGACCGCACTACTCTGCCTCTCTCCAAACCTCGTGAGGTTTTCAATCCAAGTATCATGGAGAAGTATGGCGGAGCAAGCACAAGCCGCTCTCACGGCCTTCCTTATCACGAGAGGATTGCCGGCGGCGCAGTCGCATCACTTGGCCGACCCGGAACAAGCGGGAGCTCGAGCTCGGCTGGAGGGAAGACCTCTGGTGGAGTTGAGAGCGTGAGGACCGAACCTGCCTTGATGGCTGTTGCTTATCACTGGATGAGGGCTGCGGACCAGGGAGGTGATGATGTTGCGAGGTCGTACGTGCAGCAGCAGAAAGAGCTTAATGGGCTCGGCTAAGCACACGATTTTGTCACCAGTCACGTCTCCTCACGCATTTGGAACACGTCAAGTAGATGATGGGTCTGGAATCCGAGTTCCATTCTTGCATATCTGATTTTTCAACATTTCTTTCATGGTTGCTGCGCAGCTTTCATTCATTTGGGGCTTTTAATCTTTACTTCATCTACTTGTCGTTTCCGCGGAGATATACCATGTTCGTTACTTTGCATGTACAGGGCCAATATATCCATGTAGCAGCTTTTTTTGTTGGAAAAGCCTTTGTGCGATTCTCTGACGACACGGATTCGTGCACGGGCTGGATGAAATGGTTATGGATCTATAGATGTGATGCAATGGCTATGTTGGACTGAACTGGCAATCGTTTTCTGGATACAGGCGGACTGTCATTTGCAATAGAGAACAATGGGGTGGAGGATATACCACGGAACTTGTGTCTTTCATGATGGTTATTAGGTCGTCATAAATGAAGAAGGATTGGATTACATTTCTTTGAGGTGTCCTGAGCTCGCTTTCTGCTGTGAATAATTCACATTAATGTTGCGATGTGATATCAAGGCGTTACTGCCCAACTACAAAGTTATCAGCGAATATCGTATCCCGATACTAGAAAGCGATATAATCTGCATTCATCCTCAGTGGCAACAAATTGCAACTATGATGGATAGATTATGGATGTTAATCTTATTATTGTAAATATGTTACGCATCACGATCCGTAGTAACACCCGATTCGGAAGGCATGTGCGCCCACGGACGGAGAACCGGCAGGAGTCCATGTAAGCAGGCGTATTCGGCAGGCTCTGGGAACATCACTACCTCTTCGACCATGGGAACCGGCCGACCGCGGAGCCAATAGGATCGTTGTCAAACTCGGGTTTCTGCTTTAGTCTTGGCTGATTCCACTCGTTTACCTTAATGCTATCTACACAGTGATTGAGTTGCTGATGGATCCGCTTCGGATTTCAAGGAAAGCCAAGTCTTGCTACGTGGTAGTAGTGGGCCGGTGTGTGATTTCCGGATTCATGATATGCTCACACGCTTGAACACGTTCACGGTCGTGTCAGCGCGATACTTGGCGGATTCATGTGTTTGATACGTCAACGTCAGCAGAAGCAAGGACTAGTGTGTCGGAATACTGGGGAAGGATCCGAATTGTGCGAAATTGCCCATTTTGGCTGCTCTTACGATTAGGATTTCAGTTTCATTTTACTCCCTTTATTGGCATGCTGGCTTGCATGGAGAGCTGCTTCTCAACGCTTTGTTCGCTGCGCTTTTGTGAATCACATCCCGTAACAAGTCATTCTGTTTACGTCACGAATTCAAGCAGAATGACCACACGAGAGACTCGGTCATCCCTTTGCTTACCCCGGGTGTAATAAGAACGGTGTAATAGAAATTCCCACTGCGGTCCGATGAAAACTCCGTGGATACAACAGGCATGTCACAATATGGACATTGTTGTCGGCGTCCGCGCAGATTCCGGTGACAATGGCATTTCTAACCCGATGCGGAGGCTAAATGCGTGAAAACTGTTGAACAGCGATGGTGTGTTGTCGGCCAACTGTTCATTGGTGCCATGTCTATCTGCACACCGATATTGAGAGGGATGGGCACCGCCGGGCGGGTAGGCTGTAAATGTAGATGGCGCCATCACAACTCCCAGGGTATATGCATTTAGCCTCAGAGAAATGGCAGGAAGTCACCATCGGTGATAAGCAACTCCTCCCACCGAAATCGAACATTGTAGCATACTTAATGGCGAGCTGACAAAGGTCGGGCTTGGGTTTGTTTAAGTGTCCGATTACGGGTGCATGCTTGGCTGTAATGTGTAGTAGAGTCGGTGCTTGGTGGTCCGTGGCTCCGTTAGCCACGCTTGCTGCCAATCGGCACGGAGGATCACGATGGTGTACGAGTATATACGACATAGGGCTGACAGGATGCCCTGTAGGTGGGGGCACTTAACACGGAATGGGTATCAATTAAGCTTATGGTTGATCGAGCAGGGGGGGTATGGCTTGGCTGTGAGAGCCGGGCAAGGTCTTGATTCACCCCCCGGGGCCCAGAGATTTTCATCTCATTTTACCCTTCATAGTCATTGCATCCAAGGGAGGCAGCTTGATCCCCTGTCTGTTGTCGGTGAGTGAGTCCACTTGACCCGCACTCCGCAGATCGAAAGCGAGTTTCCGGTCTTGGTACTGTATGCGACGAGCCGCTGGCATCGCTGGCATCGCTGGCATCTCAGCGATTTCGCTTCACAAGCTGCTAGCGTAGACGTTCCCACAAGGCTTCATTCACTGAATGTGTGCGTCACGATTTCGCAGTGTAGGTGCAACGATACAGAACCATCGGCATACGCGAAAATGCAACGTGAATAGTGAGCGCGTGTCCCAGGTATTTTATTCTCTCGTATTCCTTCAGGAACTACTACTTGTATCGACTGCTTCAAAGGTGATGAGCTAATGAGACGAATTTTTTAACTTCTATCATAAGCATGCGCCACGCCCAGAATCACGGATGAGTCTTCAATGACAGAAGCCAGCAGGTCGGACGTCCCGGGGTGCCGTGACTCTGATGTCGCCCGGCAGCCGCTAATAAGCATACATTCAGATTTTGGCAGTGAAACACACGGAGCGCAGCGCACATGTAAGTCCATTCAACTTACAAATGATCGCCAAGAAGGAAATGTAAAATCGTCAATATCGACATTTCGTTCAAAGAGGATGACTCAGTTTGGGAGCCAAGCTCTTTGACAGTCGGCCTAATGTTAGGGGGCATTAGAAATACTTATGCCCAGCTGTAGGGCTCAGCGGCTGTTCCACCGAGTCATCGGCGGAAATGCAACGCCAGATCTACAGAGGGATCCTCAGCAAGATTCTGGCGCCAGAACAGGGGGCTGTTGTTAGACGGCCTAGCCTTGCCGGCGATAGTGCACATCGTCTAGTGTGGAATAAGGAGAGAAATAGCCCGAAAGTGGATTGTATCTTTACGATACTGGTGCCTATCTCACATCGCGAATCTATGTACAGGGACAATGATGCCAAACGTTATGTCCGTCTACGGCGCGTACGCGGGCGCATTGCACCCAACGCTTGTTGACAAGGCCCCTGGGAATGCAGCAGACGTCCGTCCCAACCTTACCTAACTCCCGTTATCTGCGTGGTCTCCGATTGGTCCCAGCAGTCGAATCAATGACGATGGGAGACGCTCCTCGTCCTCCCTGGCTGCAATCTACGTACTCCATCTCACTCTATCTCTGTCCTTTTGCGACACAGCCCCCATGTCGGTGACTCGGGCTTGCTCAAGGCCCCTTGGCAATTCCGTGCGCACAAGTACCTTAAGCATGCGAAACACGCATCTCTCGCATGTGCTTAACTGGGCTGGTTTACGGCTTACGCCTATCGGTACATGTGAGCGTGCAGGCCCACATGGCAAGAAGGCATGTACACCCAAATATGCACGGAAAGGTACGGCGAGTAAGTATTTCTCCGGGCGAGTCAGCCTCTAGCAAACTGGCTCATAATGAATCCTTCTTTCGAGTTCCACCATTTACTCGCCGTATTACACCAGTTGGATCTTGGACCGAGCCCTCGTCGGTGCAAATCCATCACTACTATCCTTGTAAATTGTGAACCAGGATGATGTAAGCTGCAAGTATGTAGGATTTTCGAGGGCTTGCTAACTCCGGGTTCTAATGGCCGTCAATTTTCTTTATTATATATTTCATCCATGTCCCTACCCCTGATATGCCTCCCTGTCTTCTCCAGCTTCATTCACTAGAGTCAAAAACCCAGTTTGCCTTGTTGGCCAGTGCCTGCGGAGTCATCAGCCACGAAGTCATCAACGACAGCAAACATCAAGCGCTCGGGCAACATGGCGCCCGCTTTAGATACGATAAGTGATGGTGAGAAGCCTGAAAGCAGCAACAAGATGCTGGACCCACAGGGTGAACAGAGTGACTTCGATCACGCCTCAACAAGAGCACCGTCCACGGCCCCAGATTTTGATGAGAAGAAACGCGATACGGGTGGAGAAACCGACGAGGAAAGGGGCGATGAGGTCGAAGACGCGCCTCAGGAGGAACGGGCAGCGGATCCTATGGATTATCCCACCGGAGTGCGGCTTACCTTTATCATTGTCGCGCTAGTTCTTTCGATCTTCCTAGTTTCCCTAGATATGGTAAGTTGTCGCATCTGCACGTTGTCATTAGACGACAGGACTAATTTGAGATAGACAATCGTCGCAACCGCAATTCCCAGGATCACAGATGAGTTTGGTGGTCTCGATGATGTCGCTTGGTACGGTTCAGCTTTCTTTATGACGCTTGGCGGCTTTCAGTCTGCATGGGGCAAGGCATACAAGTACTTCCCCTTGAAGATTACCTTCCTGCTGTCAATCTTCGTATTTGAACTCGGTTCTCTCATCTGCGGTGTTGCACCTAATTCCACGGCTCTCATTGTCGGTCGGGCCATCGCCGGTCTTGGTGCTGCGGGTATCGGCTCCGGAGCATACACTATCATTGCCTTCGCCGCTGAGCCGAAGAAGAGGCCTATGTTCACTGGCATTATTGGTGCCTCGTACGGTATTGCGTCCGTGGTTGGCCCCTTGATTGGAGGAGCTTTTGCCGATAAGGTCTCATGGAGGTGGTGCTTCTATATCAACCTTCCGATTGGAGGCGTGTCTGGAGCCATCATTCTGTTCTTTTTCACAACACCGAGTGCTGCGAAGCCTGTCCAGGCCACTATTAGGGAGAAGCTCCTCCAGATGGACCCTGTTGGCGTTGTTCTCGTGATGGGAGCTGTCATCAGCTATATCCTGGCCCTCCAATATGGAGGCCAGAAATATGCTTGGAACTCTTCAGAGGTGATTGGCCTCCTAGTCGGGTTCGTCGTGATCTCGATCGCTTTCGTCGGGTGGGAACTATACCAGGGCGAACGTGCTATGATGCCCAAGCGCCTAATCGGGCAGAGGGTTTATCTCGTCGCGTCGCTATTTGCATTCTTCTTCGCCGGTGCTTACTTCCTGATCATCTACTATCTCCCGATCTACTTCCAGAGTATCGACAATGTGAGCCCAACTCAGTCTGGCGTCCGCAATCTGCCCCTTATTTTGGCTGTTACGGTTGCCACGATCGTGTCCGGTGGCACCATTTCTGCTACTGGCCATGCCGCCCCGATTAAGATTGGAGGAGCTGCTATTGCCACTATCGCGGCTGGTCTACTCTACACTCTTGATATTGGTACCAGCAGTGGCAAGTGGATTGGATATCAGATCATTGGTGGTATTGGTTGGGGTCTAGCATTCCAGGTGCCTATTATTACCGGTCAAGCCACTTCGCCAACCAAGGATTTGGCTGAGGTGACTGCCATCATTCTCTGTAAGCATTCACTACCAACTTATTTGAGATCTACCGTAACTAACATAGGCTGAACAGTCTTTCAAACGGTGGGTGGCGCCTTCCTGGTGTCTGCGGCCCAATCATCCTTCGTCAACGTCCTCACGAAAGTGCTTCCGCACTCAGCCCCCAACGTCAACCCGATGCAGGTTGTCTTGACTGGCGCTACAGAGCTGCGTGATGTGTTTACGCCAGAAGAGATTCCAGGCATTCTTGTCGCATACATGCGCGGTCTGAAGATTTCTTTCGCTCTCTCGCTTGCAGCAACAGGCCTGGCCTTCGTCATCAGCTTGGCAACCAAGTTGAAGAGACTCAATACCGATGCGATCAAGGGTGGCGGTGCTGCTTAGATCGTTTCACGATCAATAAAGGGTGGATGGGTATCGGTGGTTGGATATAATGACTGGTTTGGATATGGCATAATGGCGTTGGATAGAAGTATAGAGTCGTTACTCAGATTGACGGCAGACCGCGCCACATACGCGTCAGGACTTGGTATTTGATAGTTTCTACATTTTCATTTGTACATACGGGCTAGGCATTGGTGCATTCCTGCTATCGACTCATCTCTAATACGATAAAAGTACAGTTATCCAAAAACATAGCTGAAGCCGACTGTGATTGTTGCGTGCTTCTGTGACTGTCTATCTGTCCAAACGCTATAATAATTTAAAAGATGAAATTATTAACTTGCGCACTCGACGGTCTCACGGCATTTGGTGTGTGTATAAGAAGTATGGATATATCTTGGTGAAAACTGTAGACTGTTATTTTGCGGATTGGTGCCACGACCGAATCCTTCGGTTCAATTCCGGAGTTTAAATGCTGACTATGCTTGGGTAGAGGTATGATGATGATGGTCAACTTAACTGACCAGGGCTACGAGAACAGCTTACTTTAAAAGGCAAGTACTGGCTAATGCTTGAAAGGGCCTTGAAAACCTGGACTGTTTCTTGTACGGCACGAATTGCTCCTCTTGGATTCTTACGTTGAAAGAAATTAGCACTGGGACGAAGGATCGTTGGGTCTTCGATGATTACGCCAGCGCATCGTGCTAGGATTTACTACCCTCGCAAGCTAAGTTATATCTTTGTAAGAACTTGATACTAGGCATTTAGATGCTAGATTTTGAGGGGTTACGTGTTCGCAAAGAAATATTGTCGCAATTACGGCAGAAACTGCAGGAAACGGTGAGTGTCGGGTGTGGCAAAATCGGCGCCGACAATGGTCGGAGCAACTTCACAGCATTGAGAAGAGCTTCAGCCCCGTTCCCCAACGGAGGTAAGGTGGACCCAGAGAGGCGCAAGACAGGGCCCGTATTCTCTCGGATCTCAGGCCGGTAGGGCTGTCCTTGAATCGAATCCACAAATCCAAGGCCGATGCTGCAATCCACAGTCCGCACCCATGGATTGAAACATTCCATCATCTAAGGTATAAAAAGTCACGGTCAAGACAGAGGAATGCGATGCCTGCTGAGACGCCTATCATTCTCACACATCTCCCGAGCGAGCAATGAAACAGATTCGGCCCTCGGCCCCGTCCAACATCGAAAGACATGTCTGCTTACGATTAGGCTCCGGCGTACGTAATACTGCACAGGCGGCACAGTCAAGTCTTGGAAGGCCAACACCAACGTATGGTAAGCTGGCAAGGTACAAAAGCAGGCGGTGGGATCGAAGCGCTGCGTGGATTTTGTGCGGAGATTGACTCAGCGCCAGCGCAAAAGAACCAAAAGTCTCCGTGAGCCTGGCCCACAGCCCGCATGCGGCCGCTCCGCCGCTTCGGCGGACTTAAGAACCAAGACGGCCTGCTCCTGACAAATCCGCTGGGCCTAACCTGATATCTCCCATTCAAGCCCCAGGCCCCTCCAAAAGCACATTTCATCCACCGTCGCGGTGGACCATATCATTGAACGCAGTTGCCCTCGCAGAGCTCGTGTAGCGAGCCGTCCCGCCAACCCCAGCTATACCTTAGTTTTCCTTTGCATTCCTCACTGTACAGGACGGTGCCGTTGGTGGCCCCGAGCCCTGCTTAGGTGTTCTAAGAGGCCATACCTGGGGCCTTTCTTAGGCGGCCAGGGACAATCTTGACGCCTGTAATGGCGTCTGTCCCAGCGGATAGTGGATCCCCACAGTCCACTGAGGCTGCTGATGATCGAGATGCAAAGCGCAGGAAGATCCGGAAGGGCACTCGCAGCTGCTGGGAGTGCAAGAGGCGCAAGATCCGCTGCAATTATCCATCGCTAGAGGATCAGATATGCGAAGGATGCCGTCGTCGTGGAACCAACTGTGTCAGCCAGGAGTTCCCTGAAGAGCCATCTACTTCAAATGGATCAACTCGGCAGGTAGGAGACCGCTTGGGGAGGATGGAAGCTCTCGTCGAGCAGTTGGTGAAGAAAGTATCCAGCAATGCACCTATTGGGCGCGGGGACCTGGGCACTCCTGCGGGCAGGAGTTCTGTTTCTGACACGCTGGAAGAAGAGCCCTCCCCTAACCCGGGGATTCCCACACCGGAGTCGCAGGTCACTGCCGACTCCAGTAGGTACCTGACCATCTATGACCATCCAAAGGTGCGCAGCCTACAATGTTTGTCTTTCCTGTCCTCACTCATGCTAATCGTGAGAAGGGGGGCTTGGAACATGAAGTTATCGATGCGTCAAGGAGTCATAGAAGCCCACCACCTCTACCGACTCCTGACTTTGATCACACAGTAGCACAGAAAGGCCCGCACAGATATGAGAAGCTCTCTAAGATTCTTCATGCCGCTTTGCCCTCGCAACATGACACAGATATCATCGTGGAGTGTACAGGTTCCACCGCAGGTCTGTTCCATCAGATGATGTGGATTCCATATGCAGTTCTTTTTAGCGGCAAGCAAGACAGATTTGGGGACATTGGCAAACTGCCGAGCCCGACTGACCATCCGACGCTTATTGGACGGAAGATGTTGATGCTCGCTATGTGCCTCCAACACCTGGATCCTACTTTCGCCCACGGTCTCAAACGCCTCGACGAAGATTTCCGCATCATCAAGAAACGCCTGGTCGATGTAGCCGTCAACCTAGTGAACACCAGTGACGAGCTCGTGGGAAGTGTTGAAGGAATGCAATGCATTCTGCTTGAAGGCATATATCAGGCAAATAATGGCAATCTTCGAAGAGGTTGGCTGGCATTCCGCCGTGCCATGGTAGTTGGTCAACTGATGGGTCTTCACCGTGGGCGTGGCGCTGGTGTGAAGTCCTTGAGCCCGGACACGATTGCCGACCTGAAGCACATGTGGTTCCGTATCGTATACGCCGACCGGTATCTTTCGCTCATGCTCGGCTTGCCTGTAGGTTCACATGAAACCAACTTCACGAACGAAGAGGCCATGAAGAGCGACACCTCGAATGGCCGCCTCGAGAGGTTACACACACACATAGCTCTCAAGCTATTACAACGCAATGACTGCCTGTTGGTGGCTGGGCAAGACGACTGTTATACTGCGACACAAGAGATCGACGCCGATCTTCAAGCTGCGGCAAGAACTCTGCCTTCGAAGTGGTGGCTCACTCCCCTGCTCACCGACTGCAAGAATAACTTGGACCTATTCCAGGAGACTATTCGACTAGTCAATCAATTCTTTCACTATAACCTTCTCAACCAGCTTCATCTCCCGTACATGCTCCGAGACTCGCCACAGCATCGATACGATTACAGCAAGATGACATGCGTGAACGCATCTCGCGAACAGCTAACCCGGTTCATCTCATTCCGAAGCATAAACCTGGTAGCTTTCAGCTGCCGCGGTGTCGATTTCTTTGCCTTTATGGCAAGCATGACGCTGCTGCTTGCACATCTTGATAGCCACCGGCACGGGTCGAATAACTTCCTAGCACACCAACGGCTTGTTGATAGAGGCATGATGGAACGTGTGCTCGAAAATTTCGAGGAGCTGCATTCACTTAATCAGGATGTTCTCTCGAAACAGAGCGCCGCTATCCTGAAGCGATTACTTGCTATCGAGGCTGACGCTGCGAACGGTGGTAGCTATAGTACCAGCAACGAGGAACTCGCCGGGGACGCGGACTTAGATGCGCCATGTGTCCAACAAGATAACCATGCCTTACGTTTACGTATTCCATATTTCGGGACTATTCGCATCGCTTCTGAAGGCCTCAGCAGAGCTCAGACACAGCCACAGAAATCCAATCCACCAGCTCAGTCCTCTTTGGCAAAGTCTCCGCAGCAGTGTGCCTCTGCTGGAGCCACTGCGGCATCTCCAGTCAACAACGCTAGTAGCAGCGGTGTGGCCACACCGGCAACCCATCCGGGGTACCAAATCGGCGGCGACGCTCCAGGTACAGATTGGCAGGCTCTTCCAATGCAGTTTACGGGCCAGTTCACCCCTCAGCAACCCATCACACCATTCACAGGCATAGACACGAGCCAGCAACAACAAATATACGTTCCTGGTCTGACTGCTGGTGCTGAAGACTGGGCCTTTCAAGGTGTGGACATGGCCTTCTTTGACAGCCTTATGAAAGGTGCAAGCACCGCGCAACTGCCTGACACTGGCACGCCGCAAATAGAGCCCAGTGGGCTGATGGGATCTAATACGGGATGGCAAAACTGGGGCGGGCACATGTGACGGATGATCGGGGATCATGGAATTCTCAAACGGCCGTGGAATGGCGGGAGGAGTTTTCGGTGGCGCGTGATGGGATATACAAGTAGGAGGTAATGATCAATGTTACATGTACTATTATAGGATCTATACCACTACACTCCAAAAAGAAACACAATCTTACCAAATCCCATCTTAGTCTTCATTGATGACCTCTCGGTGCTTCTGTGAGCTGACCCTGGAGAGGTTCTGGCTCCCTATGCCGAGCAAATCGAGAGCAAGCTGCTCAATTAGGGGAAACCCGTTAGCCTCAAGACCAGGCAACTTAACAAAGCAGGTCCATCTTGTTTGATATAATGAAAAACGGCGTTCGAGCCCGTGCGAGGCGGAAGAGGTAACCGGGCGTGGTTTAGCTAGCGATGTTTGACCCGGTCGAGAGTAATACTTGCACGTCCGCATTGACGGTAAATCCATCAATGTCGTGAATCGGGATTCACTACGGCGGCGACTGGTCACGATCTCACAGGATCCTAGTTTTGTACCGACAGGACAGACACTCAAGAGAATGTCAACTTATCCAATGAAGCAACAGATGAGGGGTACATTGAAGCCCTTGGACGAATAAACCTGTCAACGCTATTGGAAGACGGCGTTCATAGAGTTTTGGCTGTCAAAACAATTTTGCCGATAGTCACTTCAACACTCTAATTTGGCGTTGGGCTCTAAAGAAGGACGGGTTTAAACGGCTAGTCAGCAACCGGGAGCTGAATTCAAGCCAGACTGCACTTCAGCCATAGTTCAATGATAACTCTCTTTCATTCGAACTCCTCCCCATCAAGCACAGTGATGAAAGCAGACTGTAGTCTCCTTAGGTGTACAATGGCAGGGTACAACGAAGGTATTTCAAGCGATATGGTTCTAGATAGTATAATATCCACTATTGTTTCAATACCTAGTGCAACATAAGAGTTTGTGTCATCCTTGGGATCTTTCCACTGCCCTATAATGAGCCGGCGTGCTAAAGTTGGATTGTACGACACGAGAACAATACCATAAATATTGCTGAGAGTAACACGGGGCATTTCTCTCCGATAACTTCTCTCTTTCAGTCACATTCCATACAATCTTTGTTGCATCAGCTTCAGAACCCTATCTCGATGCATCACTAATACCTTAATCTCACTCAGGTGACCAGGCAACGCATCTCACTTCGACGCTCTCCCTCATTTCAGTACCCTCTTTGCTATTATCCAGAGGAAACGCTGCATGAGCACAGTCTGATAACAATCACGTCAGATAAATTATGACAGATCAATGATTGGAACTCACAATCAGCAGCTTCAGACTTAGAATCCATTTGTTTGATCAACAATGCCTCATGGGGCATCTGGTTGCTCAGGAAGTGCCAGCGATGGTTCTCGTTGAAATATATGTTGCATCCTTCCCCAACTGCGTCGGGATACACCTGGTCTACATCGACAATGTCTTTCGTGTCACACGTACGATAGTCACACACTGCTAGTGGCCAATCCTTTACTGGGCCCTTCAAGGGTCTCCAGACACTGGATTTCAGTCAGCAGATTGTATATTGAGAGCTGTATAGGGCCCATAAGAAATTAGCAATCAACCCGTACCCAAACATTTGTGTTCTGCCTGTTTTTGGATCTATCCCAGCCTTTTTCAATGACTTTAGTGCTTGTTTCACTTGTTCCTTTCTCGACGAGTCTTGAGTTGGTGATTTCGTGTCAGAATGAACTAAAGCGGAGAGACTCGTAATACTAACCAACATGTACAGTACGGATTGGTTGAATATGCTTCTCTTGAAATTGAGATCGAGGGAATTCAGCAGTGCGTCGACGGATCTTGCAGCTTGATGTGAGCTCTCACATTGAGGCAAAAAGGTTCACTGGTAAGAACTTGTCCCGAAGGATTGACTTACAAGAATGTCATAAACCTCAACAAAGGCGAACTTCATCTCTTCTTTGAGAAAATTTTCAATTTCACTGTTGTAGAGGCCAGCAATTTTGTGGAAGTTGTCAAAATCTTGATAATCATATTGAGAATGGAACTCCATTGGCTGAAATCCTTGAGTGTCAAACTTGAATGTGCTTTCGCGGCCCCGCATGTCTTGGATATTCACGTTATAGAAGTCAAATTCCAAATTGGTTTGCTTCGCGCCAGGATAGTCATCAACAGGAAAACAGATAAAGAATGGTTTCTCTTGCTTGAATTTTTCATTGTACTTTAGATAGCATAATGTGCCAGGAGCTTGAATTGGCCCATTTGCAAGAGCCATGGTGAACCTCTGCTCTTACCTTGGCTAAGAATATGGGAGAAGGGGACATTGTGGCCTTAATTGATTTTTATGGAGAATAAGCTGCAAACGGGCTAGGACAAGGCTACGAAATGATTTGACAAGTTCCCTAGGTATGGGCTAGGATCTGATATATATTGCCAACAGTAACCCCTGGATTACCTCATTATCTTTCTTCCTCAAACTACCGCCTGCAGATGATCGAATTTAATTTGCCGGCTGAGTCTAGACAGTGGGTCATGCCTCACTTTGCGAGATACCAAGCGACTCGATTTTGACATGCACGACTGTTCCTTGAGCTATTACACATGTATCGCAGTAACATGCACACGATTGGCACTATGATAGTTGCAGGTTTGAGATTCTCTACAAGTATATAAGTGCGACAAGACTCCATAAATAGGTAGGCTGTTGATTTCAGTCACGAAAATACGTTCGGAATTGAGCAGTCCGATATACATCCTGTCCGACAAGATGCCGGGACGCATGCATGCTAACCAGTCATAACGCATGTTCACAAGCCATCATACCTAGGTAGTCTTAAGTGTAAGTAATAGCTGGTATAGATACATATGTCACTCATTGAACATCCCTTGTGTTAGGCGACGGTTGCAAAGTGAACGACACGTCTGCTCAACCAGTCGTTTTAACGAGATACTCACACTGTAGAACAACAAGGTTAAATGACCCTGCTTATCTCTCACTCGGTGAGGAAGTGAAGTTTTGAGCATGGTAGTACAAGATAAGACGAAAAACAACAGCAGCGAATGAACGAACAGCTACACGACGAATATCATGGAAACTCAGACGCCACCTAAAGTGCACTTTTGATCTGACGAGCAAACATGGTCATTTGAGCAGCTCAGCCCACCATGCATATTCCTGTTGTATGTAATGAGGGGTTATTCTGAATTCAGATCAAGTAGATTCCGTGCGTTTATAGTTGTGCTCAATTTTCTATATAAAGAGTGACCGGTGTCTCACTCCAAGCATGACATGGCACTTATATATCTGACTAAATTTTGTTTCTGCACTGAGTCATTGATGACTAGAAAATACTCAAGTTACCCTGAATAAGACATCTGGTTGTAATACAAATTATGTTTGAGCGTCCAGATTGGAAGCCTCAACCAGAGCTGCAACAGCCATGGCGGAGTTGGTACTCTCAAGTTCAAGAGCACAAGGAGAGTGCATCTGAAGAAGAAATCAATGAAAAGCCTTGGCTCAAAGATCGAGACCTCGATGACCAGGCACCTCGAGATGCTACCTTTGTTCACAACTCCCAATTTTACAAGTGGATGTCAGCCGAATCAACCAAAAATCTGTATCTGTGCAACCAGGGACGTTAAATGTGAGTCCTAATCATGCACATTGCCTACTTCCCCATATTGCTAAGAGTTTTGTTGACCTTTTTACGAATGACATAGTCGGCGTTTGACCTGGAGCTCCGGTCTGCGATGTGGTTGAGGCAAGGCATCGTGAATAGCTTACACAATACAATATTCGTTTACAAGATAATTCTCTACTCCATGACTTCGGTTTCTTGTTGAAATGAGTAATGCTAGAGTAATCTTTGCCGACGCATCAGGCTCAATGGACACTGTGGAGCTGTACCAACTTTCGCCATCGAATCAAGCAGGGCAGCTCTGCCTCCTGCTGACCAACATCACTCAAAATATCACGTAATATACACAGAAGGAAGCCTCCAAGGCGTTACCATGTACTGAGAACGCAACGGGTTGGCCATTTCTATATTAAGCAATGATATCTAAATGAGGGTGGTGAATATGATATATGAACGATGGCAACCAAGCCACCCGATAACTTGCCGGGCTGGGACGTTACGTCCACGACTCACGATATGGATACATATGGGATGAAAGGCATTTGAGATGTATCTATAAGAGAATATGCCCCTATTCTTTTGCTGTGGTCGAGCGCTGTCCGAGGACAAGGTGGTTTGACTGACCACATTCTGATGTAGTACAAAAGTTTTCAGTGGGAATGCGACCACGATAAATGATCCACGTTATTATTATTTTTGCAAGTGCAATACGTATTCGGAACTTCGTATTGTACGCCGATGGTCCTTTAATTACCTTTTTTTTGAGAGCTTTTCTCATTACGGTTGTGATATAAACGCTTCGTCTACCCAAGTCACTCTTTGACATTGCAGTTTCTAATCTCATTTCCACGAAGACCAACAATATTCAAGTAATCGATCTTCATAACCTGTTTGAGGCTTTACCTAGGTTTCTCTTTGCAAGAGGGTTTTTATTTTGATTTATCTTTTTCTTTTGGAGCTGGGTACTTGACCGACCTTACAGACAGGCCATGTGACATAGGCTGTAATTGGTCTAGACCGAAGGCTAGTGGCGCAACTCCAGCACCCGATCAGTGATCCTCGGCGCTGGGATTTCCCCACAGGGTCCCGCATCCGATCCCCACAGCATGGGCGTGTGATGCCCCAAATTTCACTGACTGATCTTGTCTGCCCCCGAAAGCCCCCTCTGCTCTTTGCGATCTCGGTTGTCCACTACTTCTAACTGACAGCCTGTAAGTCCTGGCTGCCATCCATTGATAATTGGACCATCAATAGTTACAATCTTTATCTGAGTGGTCAACTCCAATGAATCAGGAGTCCTAGAAATGGCAGAGCTCTTCTCTCCATCGTCTGCGGCCTCACAAGCTGCCATTGCCGACCCCCTGGACACGGACGATGTTCTGGCAGGGTTCCCGTCCTTCAGCTTCCCCCAGAGCAACGATGTCTCGCCTCCGTTCCTGGGAGACGCCGACTCGTCTTCACCGTCGACCATCTGGCGTCTCGATGAGTTTGTGCAGGATCCGGGATATCTCGCCTATCAGGAGGAGCTGCGATGTCTGATCTTCAACACTGCGCAGACGGCCAATCCCTCGCGCGAGGCCACGCCGACAGCCAACGATGAGGCGGCATCTGCAACAGTTCAAGTGAGGGACACAGCTGCAGAACAAGCCGAGATACAGGCTGCCCACTCACTGCACCGTCAGACGGCGGCGGTGTTGTCTCAGGGTCGCCGCATGGAGTATCTACAGAATTACGTCGGCAGCATTGCGCCGTGGCTGGACATGTTCGATTCGTCTCGCGCATTCGGCATCCAGGTGCCTGTACTGGCACGGAAATCCCCGGCTCTTCTCTATGCGATCCTATCGCTATCAGCTCGCCAGGTAGAGAGAAAGGAGAGAAAGAAGCACAGCTTCGACAGCCTGGAGCTGTACCAAGAAGCAATTAGGCTCTTGACGCCGCTGCTGCAGTCCCGAGACGACCAGATTATCCCCATCTGCACTGTACTATGTGTTATGGAGATGATGAGCGCCAGTGCGCAGGATTGGAGAAGACACTTGGAGGGGTGTGCTGCGCTGTTTGATGCTTTCGAAGTGCATGGCTTCAGTGGTGGTTTACTACAAGCAGTCTTCTGGTGCTACGCAAGAATGGGTAAGCTTTTCATATAATTCCATCTGCTCATATTGAGTCTGTAGATTGACCAATCTCAACTAGATCTATGTGGTGCCCTGATATCTGATGGCACTCAAGCTACCCTCGTACCCACGCTGAAGTGGCTTGCTCCAGGTGAAGACGAGATCAATGCCCGTCGACTCTTTCGAGAAACGAAGAGCCTCGACATGCACGCCAACTACGCAGTCTACCTATGTGCCAAAGCCTGCCAGCTCATTGCGGACAGGACGCGATTCGTGGAGCTCGGGGAAGCCAATGGCTGCGGCAACGAGTCGTATACACAACGCTGGTCCCAGCTATGGGACGACCTGCAAGCGTGGCTCGACGATCGACCGACAGACATGTGCCCTGTTCAGGAGATTGAGACTAAGTTTTTCCCGCAAATTCTCTTTGTTCATTGGGCTGCTATCTCATCCAACCAGCTCTACCATACAGCTTGCATCCTCCTCCTGAACCTCAAACCCAAGGCCGTAGCTCTCCAACCCGGCGTGACGAGTTCTTCGATCTGGCACGCGAAGCGCATCTGCGGAATATCCTTGACGAATCCGCATGAAGGATGCTTGAATAACGCAATACAACCTCTCTGGATCGCCGGACGACTCCTCAGCCACGAGTCTGAGCATGTGCTGGTCGTCAAGCTCATCCGAAGCATCGAGGCCATGACCGGGTGGGGCACATGCTGGCGCATCCCGGACCTAGAGGCTGCTTGGGGCTACAAAGTTCGACGATGATCACTAAGAGTCTCAATGATTCAAAAGTTATTATCATTCAGCTGGCCAACCAAGTTTCAGCCCTTGTCAGAGATATCCCATTCATCGCGCAGCATCGATGAGAACCGGCCGATGTTCCAGCCCGTCACACGGGCGATCGCATCGAAGCGGCGCAGGATCTCACGCTGCTGAGGCTCGTATGTCATCTTCTTCGCCGCCACAAAGAGGCTCGAGACCAGCGAAAGGTCCCAGCACTCACGGCGGTCGTTGTTGAGAGCAATGCCGCAGACTCGCTGAGCGTGCCACAGCGGCGACACGGCCGAGGATCTTCTAGAGTCGAGCACCAAGGTTCTCGGCTTGTGCTGTAGTAGTATCATCATGGCTGTGTGATATAGCTGGTTGGCGAGTACCGCGGCACCATTTGTGAAGAGAACCGTCGGGAAGAGGCGCTCGCCTGCGCGGGAGTCAAGATCAAGCTCGACTATGGGCTGGAACTCCTCTGGGCGGTTGGTGTACCAGGCACCGAGCTCCTCAGCAATGTGCCTCCAGGCCTGTGCGAGCGGAATCGGGAACTCGGTTGCTGGAGAGGACACGTCGCCGGCGATGAAGTTGATGGCTCTGGCACAGAGCATCAAGGGCTCACGAGTGTACTGGTAGATGCTGTCTGTCATAGACGAGTCGTTCCATTGAGGTTGGACCAACTGAAGTTTCTCCAAAGGGACGCGATTGCCGCTGACAAGTGCTGCACTTAGCTCTGTAGTAGTATTAGCAAATATTGTCTGAAAAAGAGGACAGGGAACGTACCAAGCCTCAGGAAGACATTGGGAAGATGATCTTGTAACTGTGGGATAGGGTAGCTGTCTTGTAAAACAAATGACAGAAGACCCTTGCAAGGACTTTCCCACGTGTTCGGTGACCTGGTTATGAAGTTTCGTACCGCCAACAAAGCTGCAGTGATGAGGCTGTCTGCACTGCTTATGGGTTTCGCTGCCGGGTTCTCTCGCTGAGGCGTCGATGTAGTCTGGGATTGTGAATGCGCCTGTGCATCAAGAGATGCTGCTGAGAGCTCCAGCAACGAATGAAAGATAGGCTCAGAAGCGGAGGCGACGCGAGGCAGAAGCAGTCCAAATGATTGGGCCATATCACATATATCCAACTGTACTTCATCAGTATTACTTTTGAGGGGCTTAGAATAGAATCCCTTCTTACCCAGGGTGCCACTTCATATCTGTAGTGCCTCAAGAGCCGAACAATGGTGTCCTTCGACCCCAAACCGATAGTACTTATGGGGGTATCTGGTGTATTCTTATATGAGGAGGTCGAAGGCGCGATTGAGAACTCTGACTGAAACTCCCGATCATTGTTGGACTCTGTGGAATTCTCCTGACCTCCGACCGAAGGAATATGCCCAGAAGCCGTGGCCGTTGCATCCGCATTGTCCGCTCCTAGCGACAGCAGAACATGCAAGGCTGTCTCATAGCCGTCACTTGGCGTTGCACCTGGATGGAGTTGCGTAGGCGGCGACACATGCATTTCTAGGCCCTGTGGCGACAACATAGATAGAGGAGCATCGGGACTCCACGCCATCGGGTCGCCATGATGGTTGATGAACTTGGCGGGAGTCAAGATTTCATTCGATGGATGATCTGCTGTGCCATCAAGTGACGGCGCGAGTCCTCCAACCCAGTCGCGGGCTGCGACAACGGGTTCATCTTCCTCAGACTTGTCCGAAGAGGACTGGGGTCTTTGGTTCGGATGTGCAGCAGTCAAAGGCTTCTTGGCTCGCGAACTGGAAGCTCCGGGCTCGAGAAACTATCGTTCGTCAATACTCTTGTCGCCAATGGATGTGAAGAGACCAATGTCTCGAGATTCGACTTACGTGGAGGCGTGAGTATTTCGCCGCAGGCTTTCCAGGCGTTGGATTCGTGGATGATGGGGCAGTTATAGCATTCTTCTCCAGGAACGTTAAGCCAGATGGATATTGACAGTCAAAGTCTCCGTCAACACATCGCTGACATCTTGGCTTTCGCTCGTCGCCTATCAGAAGGGGGTTTCTATTAGCACTGGCCGTTGACTCTAGATACCGTATTTGTAGGACCGGGTCCCGCTTATTGTTGGGGCCGAGAGCCTGCAAGGCAGTGAGAGGGATGCTCTTACACTTTCGGCGGCGTACACGGCACTTCAGACAGCCAGTCCTCGTCCGCTTGCGACGCAACTTGACGGGTGAGCCGGGGTCAACTTCAACTGGACCCGCCGGTTCGGAGTCCTGGGCCATGGTGCATCTTCGGCGACGCAGATTCGGCCTTAGGTTAATCAATCAATCAATCAGTCAGCTCAAGTCAAGTCAAGGCAAGCCAATTCAATTCGACTCCTCTCAACTAAACTCGACTCACTCAACTCGGCCGGCTTGGTCGAGGAACAGGCGACTCGACGGTTCATATTGTCGGATTGGGAAAGTCTACGGGAGCGGAGACAAACCTAGGCAAAGCCCAGCGCGGTCACCTGCCCTCCGCCTGTGTCAGCCATCGCCAGCCATCGCGTCGTCTTGGAGAGGCGCTTGACTAGTAGAGGTTAAGATGCCCGAGTCTGGTAGTCTGTTAGCGTGCAAACCGACTTCTCAAAGCAGGAATGTTAAGCGCTACGAGGGCCAGAATCTCCGCTAAACCCCACTGCTCCCCACACTCTTACGACCGAGCTTTTCTGGGGGAATCGAATCGGCGTTACTGAAGGGAGACCCAGTCTCGAGCCCGTTCGGCATCTGGCCGCAGGGGCTCACGGCTAATTGACCGCGGCGAAATCCCCTGATCCTTTTCTGGTCACCGGGCTGCCATGCGCTTTTGCTGGTCTAGTGATCTGGTTATTGAGAGCTGAGACTTGTGATTAGTGGTCCCATATCCCGAAGGGGGATTCGTTGGCGTGTTATTCTCGGGGGGCGATAGAATGTTCGATTAATCTAAGCAGCATTCCACTGCGGAAGTTGCATTTATCCCTGTCTAAACCAAGATGGTAAAGTAAACATGGTAAATATCAAAATGCCATGTCAATCCTACAGCTTTGCTTGTCTACTCCCAATACACCTTGTTGATCAAGGTTCCGATCTGTTCAATCTCTACCCGCATATCGTCTTCAGCATTAAGCGACAGCTTTGGATTCCTCATTGCTCCGATTCCTGGGCCTGTACCGGTCATAATAATCGTGCCACGCTCCAGCGTCGTGCCTTGCGAGAGGAAGGAGATCGTGGTGGCAATGTCGAATATCATCTCGCTATTCATGATATGCCACGGTCAGCGACGGAAACACTGAAGCTAGGAAGAAGTGCCACCCTTTACTAACCTTGTGTTGGAGTCTTGTACCGTCTGTCCGTTCAGAATTGCCTTGATGCCGAGAGAATGGGGGTCGCTTATAGCTGACGGTGCCACCAGCACAGGACCAATCGGGCATGAGCCGTCAAAGCCTACAACGACACATGTCAATCATCGACTACCCCTTCAGAATGCGCCGGCTGTATCTGCGGAAAATCATACCCTTTGAGAAGCACCATTGGCTGTTTTTGAACTGCTGCGTCCGCGCGCTTACATCGTTGCTGCACGTATACCCCAGAACATACTCCAGAGCTTTCTCCTTAGGAATATCACGCCCGGATTTGGAGATGACGATGGACAGTTCCGCCTCATAGTCACTCGACCCATCTTGCGAGATCTTGGGAATGTTGATTTTGGCAGGCGCCGGTCCGTTGATGGCGGTCCGTGGCTTGATGAACAGGACGGGCACATCTGGGATTGCCATGTTTGCCTCCTTAGCGTGGTCGCGGTAGTTCAAGCCTAAGCATCGAATGATGGGTATCTCATCTATCCTCAAAGGCGCTTGGAGCTTTGGTCGCTGGCGTGTTAGCGATGTCCATTGCCCGCCCGTCAGTGTCCTTTGAGCTTGCTCACCTGCCCGATTGTCAGGACCTTGTCCGTCACCACGCCGTCAAAAACACTGCCTTCAATCAGGTTCGCTGTGACTTTTTCGCCTTTCTCTAAAGCCAGACCAACATCTGGATAGGTTTTCGCATCGATCTGGCCGAGATGGATCTGGCCATCCTCCTCCGCCAGGAATCGTACAAGATGTGTCCAAGACTGCGACATGATGCTATCAATTGACAACGCAGGACTAATTTACAGTATAGACTAGAAGAATTTAGAAGAATTTCCGATTCTTATATATTTACAGTCGAATACAAGGAAAAGTTATACCCCTCAGACATGACGCAAAATGCCGGGTGAAGGTGGTCCCGTCATCCACGGCAATTCGGTCGTATTTCTGGGAGCCGGGATGCGCAGTTGAGCCTGATTGACATACACACCAAGCTATAGTCAACTGGAAAAGAAAATCATATATATAGACCTGTCATATGAATTGATGAGACTAAATCAACTACCTGGTTGAATTTCTCACTTTCAATCCTTTGTAGTAAGGTTGACTTGTTTTAGGTTCTTGAGTTCGTACTCAAGTTATATGTACATTCTGCACATAGACGAGAAGTTGAACGTCCAACTATATTCATGCTTAGATACATCCTTATCAGAGAACGACGATGCGGTTAATTGAAAAAGTTATTATTCGAAATAAGTCTATTCTAACTATTCATGGTTTACAAGTCAACATACTCTCCCAGTAAAAATTTGCCGCTCTTAAGATCCTCACGATACTTCATAACCTTTGTAGTCAACGTCGGTAGGTCGTATCCAAAGAATTTGTACGCGGCTTTTCCTGGAAGACTGTGTCCAAATCTCCTCAAGCATATTCCTGCATCTGCATACCTTTCCCAACCGTTCGGAGCATACGGCTCGATGACAACGGCAGGTATGCCTTTGTGTCTTCTGAGTATGCTCCTTCGGTACTCCACTGGCTGTGCGTCAAACAGCCTCCAGCTAGGGAAGCTGATAACTCTGGCTCGGACTCCCTGGCCCTTCAACTCCTTGGCCACATTTAATGCAAAGGACAGCTCGGCACCGACTCCGATCAATGTGATCTCCGCCTCTTCGTCCTCCTCGACAACGTACGCACCCTTAGCAACACTGCCTCGCCTTGTCTGCTTCAGTTGAGGAACTTTGTGCCTTGAGGTCGAGATAATGCTTGGGGTTCCCTTCGCTCCAATTGCGATTTCCCAAGCCCCAGCAGTCTCTTCACTGTCCGCTGGACGAATGTACAGCAAATTTGGCATCGCCCTAAACAGGGTGGCAAGCTCAATGGGTTGATGGGTCGGGCCGTCTTCACCCATACCGATGGAATCGTGGGTCGCTGCGTGGATGACCTGCAGGTGTTGCAAAGCGCCCATGCGCACCGCGGGTGCTGCATAGAGATAGAACATGAAGAAGGAGGAGGTGACAGGGATGAATGTTCCCGGATTGAAGGCTGCAAGTCCGTTGGAGATGGCGCACATGGCGTGTTCACGGATGCCGTAGTGTATGTAGCGTCCAGCATAGGATCCATTGATGCCGCATGTCGTTCGGAGATCGGGCTGTCGATGGGTTAGCCTTAGAAGAGTGACAGGTCGACCGTGAGGATTTGACTTACATGTTGGAAGTCGACTTTGCCCTTCCAGATCATGTTCACTGATGGAGACAGATCTGCTGTTCCAACTAGGAAAGAGTTGATCTCCTTTGCGATCGGGTTGAATACTAGACCAGAAGATGCGCGAGTGGCAGTATCACCATCTGGGAAGGATTGTGGGATCAGGTCTTTCCAGTGCGACGGTATCTCGCCGCGGACACGGCTTCTGAATTCTTCGCCAAGTTCTGGATATTGTTGAACATAGCGATCCACCAGGTCCTTCCACTCGGCGACGAATTTCTCTCCCCTTGAGGGAAGATCTTCGAAGAAGGTCCGTACTTTCTCTCCAACGACGAAGTACTCGTCAGGGTTGAATCCATTCGCCTTCTTCATGTTCTTCACATCGTTCTCCCCGAATGCAGCACCATGAGCCTCGGCCTTACCCGCAACGGCGCTCCCAAGCCCAATGACAGTCTTGACGTTGATGAAGGTCGGCTTTGACTGTGATTTCTTCGCTTGCTCCAATGCATGCACAATACCCTCGATATCGTAGCAGCCGTCTTCGATTTCAATGACATCCCAGCCGCATGCTCGCATCTTCGCGTTCACGTCTTCGGTATTCGTGAGATCTACCGAGCCGTCGCATGTGATTTGGTTGTTATCGTAGATGACAGTGAGATTGTTGAGCTTCAGATGGCCAGCAAATGAGATAGCCTCAAGCGCAACGCCTTCCTGGAGACATGCATCGCCGATCATGCACCACGTGTGATTGGAGACAACATCGAAACCCGGCCGGTTATAGGTGGCTTGCAGGTTCTTCGTTGCCATTGCAAGACCGACTGCATTTGTGATGCCCTGGCCCAAAGGCCCCGTTGTTACTTCAATACCCTCATGCTCGATTTCTGGGTGTCCAGGGCACAGCGCATCAACACGGTCCGAGTGATAAGACTTGAGCTGGTCCAATGTCATCGCCTTGTATCCCGTCAAATGCAGGAAGGTGTACTGGAAGAGACATGTGTGGCCGTTTGAGAGGACAAATCTGTCTCGATTGAAGTAATCAGGGGTATGCGGCGCATATCGCATAACGTATTTCCACAGCGCGACTCCAATTGCAGCCATGCCAATGGCACCACCGGGATGTCCACCGCCAAACTGTTGACATAGATCTGATATCAACAGTCGGAATGTGCGAAGGACAATATCATGCTCCTCCGAAAGCGCTGTCGTCTTTTTGTCTTTTGTCACCATCTCGCTTGCTGTGGCGACGTGAAGTGCGTCGCCCGCAGGCATCTCTTCCAAACGGCCTGGCGCCATAGTAGGTAATTACTTTCGATCAATGGCCAGATCTGTCCCGAGGTCGTGGGTGAGATGAGATGGTGTTTTGAAATAAAAAGTCAAGACTGAAGGGTCTAGATTGTCACGTTGTGTTCTGTAAGCCGGTCGGCCTCTTCATTTCAAGCTCTCTCAAGCTATTGAATGGGTGGCTACTAGTACCCATCGTGGAGCGCATTTACAGCGGAGCTTCGGTAGTGGGTGTCAGGCGCCGCGGCCAAAGCTCGATTGCTCAGGTGGCCAGTAAGATGCGCTTCCAATTGCCCGAAATGGAAGTGTCAAGCGCCCACCCCTCTTACTCGGGGGATCGTCTCCTGTAGGGATGCCGAACATCTTTCTCGTGCCGTGAAACCTAGCTTGGGCAGAAATCATATTATCAATTGAGAGCCTCACATGTTTGGGTAGAATTTATTGTCACGCCGTCGCACTCTATTTCATCATTATTAGCAAATTGATCGCCGCTGAGAGTTGTCGCTTCACAAAGCTAGTCACAAAATATGCCGCCATCAGCAATAATACCAGACGAATCTGCTGTCGATGGGACATGGGAGAAGTCCGGTGCCACCTCTACAGTGACGACCATTAGGAGCCATGATAATGGTGTCCTTCAAATGCCCCTACCAAACCCGTCGCTCCAAGTTACGGCCGATCATAACATCAAGCAGGTAGAGGCGCCTGTGCACGAACCGAAAGAAGGCGAGGTCCTTCTACACGTCAAAGCTACAGGTGTATGCGGGTAGGTCGCTCTTCATTCATAGCAGATGTGTTTGCCTGTGGCAATGCTGATGATGTTGTAGTTCTGATGTTCATTTCTGGAAGTCCGGTCGCATCGGATCTCTTGTTGTGGAAGGAGACTGCATATTGGGCCACGAAGCCGCTGGAGTAGTGCTGAAGTGTGGCAAAGGAGTCAAGAATCTCAAACCAGGTATATATGCAACTTGATTGAAGAGAAAAAGCGAGACCCATCACTTACAATCTCCTTTAGGTGACAGGGTAGCCATAGAACCAGGTGTTCCATGTGAGAACTGCTTCCTTTGCCAGGAAGGACGATACAACCTTTGCGAGGATGTCCAATTCGCTGGAGTGTACCCATATCACGGATCACTACAAAGATACATGGTCCATCGCGCAAAATGGCTACATAAGTGAGTTTTGATCCCGAGGACGACACTGCACGAAAAGAAAGAATTCTGACCATGTACAGGCTGCCCGACAACATCTCTTTTGCTGAAGGCGCACTGCTGGAGCCTCTCAGTGTAGTCCTTCAGGGTCTCCGTATCGCAGAGTTAAGTCTTGGAAGAGGCGCAGTCATTTGCGGTGCTGGACCCATCGGACTTATTGCGCTGGCTGCAGCACGAGCATCGGGTGCCCATCCCCTGGTTATCACGGACGTGGAAGCGAGTCGGCTAGCTTTTGCAAAGGAATTTGTACCATCTTGTCTTACCTACAAGGTTGACACGACTTTGAACGCGGAACAGAATGGCAAGCAGATCCGAGCTTTGTTTGGAGCAGACACAGACGAATACTCTGCTCCACCAACCGTATTGGAGTGCACTGGAGTTGAAAGCAGTGTTTGCACGGCTGCTTTCACCGTTAGACGAGGCGGCGTTGTCGTTGTGATCGGTGTTGGTAGGCCGGTGATGAACAACCTGCCTTTCATGCATATCTCGCTTGCTGAGGTAAGAAAGTCCATCGAATACTCCTGAAGTCGCGGTCCCAGATTGACATCTTCTAGATCGACCTTAGATTCATCAATCGTTACCGAGACACATGGCCTGCCGGGATTGCTTGTTTGAGTGGTGGAATATTGGACCTTAGAAAGCTCGTGACACATGTATATCCGTTGGAAAAGTCAATCGATGCATTGCAGTTGGCCTCGGACCCCCGAAATGGAAGCATAAAAGTCCAGATAGTTGATGAGACCGAATCCGGCTTGGTTTAAATAGAAATGACGTAGGAGTTGAACTTATATGCGAGGCGTCGATGTTTGATATTACGAAGACGGTTTATTGATAGACATTTGTTCAATATGTAGCATTTCCAATGATAGCCTATAAGACCAACAATATTTCATGGTAGCATGTAGGCCACGGATGAGCTTATAATCATTTCAGTTGAGCAATTTTGTGTTGTTATTTGTCAATCCTAATAGCCACCGGTAGTCTTACAATTTAGCCCCGTAACCTAATGAATTTTCAAAATCAACCAGAGACTTGAGGATAACATCCTTGTCTCCCTCAAACCTGGCACTGTCCACTAAGCCCAAGGGCCGTCTGCTCTTACCAGCTCCATACCCGTAATATCTGTCCAAAGCTGACTTCAAGCCAGCAACCCCCAGCTGCACTAATGCCCAATCCGCCTGACTCAGGTGCGATTGCAGTTTCTGGGCCTCTTGTAGCTTTCCCTCATCGTATAGCTTGAGCAAGTGAACGTGAACTTTCGGCACAAGATTTGCTGCTGCGGCAATTACTCCGTTGGAACCTCCGACTAAGCCGTGAAGGAAGAAGTCAGACTTCCCCGCAAAAGCAGCGAATGGAGACTTGATCCTTGGGTCAGAGGTGACACGTTGAAGCTTGCCAAGGTTACCACATGTCAGTTTACAACCGACAATCTTTGAGTTGGAGGCTGCAAGCGTTGCGATTATGTCCGAGTCTAGGTCGATACCTGAGGTAACTGCTGGAAAGTTGTAAAGAAGGATAGGAATAGGTGAAGCAGTTGCAACATCATTGAAGAACTTAGTTATGGCGGGCTTTTGCATAGCACCGACTAGAAGGCATGTTAGATATGCAGGGTTTGATATGTCAGTTACCCAAGATTGAGTTTGTGGTTAGGCAAGAGTAGACGGCTAAAATAGATGGCTCATTCACTTACCCCAGTAGCTGGGAGTGAGAACTAGTGAATAAGAAGCTCCAGCTTCGGCAGCTTCTTCACAGAGCTGAATAGTCTCCCTTGTGCTCTGTGCACCGCATCCTGCGATTATAATCGCACCAGGCCTGCCGTACTTCTTCAGAATGGTCGCCGCAAGCTGAATGACCTGTTGTCGTTCAGAATGCAATAGATGAGGTGCTTCTCCATTGGAGCCCTGAATTACTAAACCGGCAACGCCAGCTTGAGCTAGGCGTGTGGCGTGAGTCTCGAGTGCTTCCAAGTCTAAGCTTTCGTCTTCATGGAAGAAGGCCACTACCGGCGCATATACTCCTCGCGGAGGGCACTGAGTGGCCATCTCGTGTTATTCTGAGGGGTTGACGATATAGATGTAGGTTCATTTTGGCTGTATCACGTAGGAAAACATACTGCTGGGCTTATATCCCAAAGTATTGGCCCCTGGCAGTCATTCGCTGGGTTCAGGAGGAGCTCCATGTCACTAAGCTCACCATTTTTAGTGGGTCTGAACGGCGCCAGTAATGCGCGCGTTAAGCCCACTCGGTATTGCAACACCGATTGTGCAATGACACGGGCTCACCCTCTGCCATTGGCACTCAATTGCAGTTCTCTCCGGTTCGATCTGGAAAGTCCTCAAAGTTTCAAGACATCTGACCATGGGGTCCATTCAGAGAACATCGGCTTTTGCCAAAGCAGAGTTCATTCCTCCCGACAGCATCTTTGAGGTGACGAAGCGATATCTTGCTGACACAGAGCCACGAAAGGTGAACCTCGGTCAAGGGACCTATCGTAATGAGGAAGGCAAACCGTGGGTGCTGCCATCAGTGAAGTTGGCGAAGGAGAAAATAGGGGATTGTGGGCATGAATACCTGCCGATTGCGGGATTGAAAGATTTTCGTGACAGCGCTGTGAAGCTTGTTTTTCACGACACCAAGGCCTTGGAGGAACAAAGAGTAAGTGATCCAGCATACAACGGTTAACGATATTATCCTGCCAGATCTTGCTGATATTGTCATAGGTTGCATCATGCCAATCACTCTCAGGGACTGGCGCGCTACTTCTCGCTGGATTGGCTCTCAGGAAATCCAATCCTGACATTTCTACCTTGTACATTACAGACCCGACCTGGTCGAACCATGAGCTGCTCTTTGCTTCCATGGGCTTTCTCGTAAAGACACTCCCGTACTACAAAGATGGAGCGTTTGACTTCGCGAGTTACATGGAGGTGCTCAAGACTGCGGATGCACGCTGCGCCGTCGTTCTTCACGCATGTGCCCATAATCCTACTGGATGTGACCCATCTCAGGAGCAATGGAAGGAGATTGCTGGTGTGGTGAAGCAAAACGGCATCTTCCCCATTTTCGACTCCGCGTATCTGGGATTCAACTCGGGGTCGGTCGATAAGGATGCATGGGCAATCCGGCACTTTGTGGAAGACTTGGGCCTTGAAGCATCTATTTGCCTGTCTTTTGCTAAGAGCATGGGGCTGTATGGAGAGCGGATCGGACTTGTTACCTTCGTAACCAACTCGGCGGAGACAGCGCGGACAGTGGGTTCCATTCTTGAGAATGTACAGCGGGCCACAGTCTCCAACCCACCGGCTTACGGTGCCCGAATTGCTGCGGCGGTGCTTGGAACCCCGGCCATCGCACAACAGTGGGCAGTAGATCTATTGACAATGTCCCAGCGCATTCAATCAATGCGCCAAAAGCTGTACGACGCTCTAGTGAAGCGGCAAACACCCGGCGACTGGTCGCATATCGTAAAGCAAACGGGCATGTTTGGTTATACCGGAATCAGTCCTTTGCAGGTGAAGCATCTCGAATGTAAGTCTACTACCGAAGAACGCACTGGAACACGACTTTTCAGGGCTAATCTCCCAATCTTCTAGCTGCGTACCACGTCTACATGGCCGAAACATCCCGCATATCCATTGCAGGACTCAACGACGGCAATCTGGAGTACTTTGCAACTGCATTGGACGAGACTGTTCGGACGGTGCATTAGTGTTAGTTGCAATTGAGATTAGAAATGGAACCCCGTCCTCTCAAACGTCTGCCGAGCAAATTCCCTGGGTGTTATCTGCGTGATGCACTCGATCGGTTCGCAAAGCCGGGTGGAGCTCCACCCTCCACCTCCATCAGCAATTGAGCCAGCCTCGGTGATCGGGCTCCTTATGAAGTACTTGAATAGCCTGCCGGAGCCCCTCCTATTGACACGGCGCTGCTCCGCTGGTGTCCGGGTTAGCCAAAGAGGTTGGCTTGAATGAGGAGGCATCCATACAGACCTATCTATGTAATGGAATACTTAGGCACTCTAGTGGCTCACCCCGCTATCGATCATTACCAGCCCTGCTAGGTTAGATAGATAATTAGAATCTAATGCCACCAAACAAGGAGTATACTGGTAGTGGGGTTGGTGTTGACTGTCTGTATCGCGGGGCAGATAAGGATGTGAAGTGTACATTGATCGTTGATTCTGGAGCTCCGCAGGCATCGGAGTCGTCGACCGACTCGGGTTTGTCACGTCATTCAGCAACTGCAATAACCCGGCAGCATTTGCGCCTCCGCTTCGGCGCGTGAATACTCATTGAACCGACTCTAGTCGGAATATTATCACCCATTCAGTCCATCGCGACTTATCCTCGAAGCTCCTTACTCAGTTTTCGACTGCTGCATGCCAGACAACAGTAACAGCGGCACTGCACTTGAATCCTAAGACCAGATTGACGAACAATGGGTTCACTTCCAGAGCCCGTCCACGGCATTAGGATTGCCATTGACCGAGGAGGAACATTTACAGATGTGAGCAATGAAGCTCATAGTGACATACCTCTACTGACTGAGGATGCAGTGCGTTGCAACAGTCCCAGGTCAAGATGACATTCTGATCAAGTTGCCATCCGTGAACCCTAGTCACTATCCTGATGCGCCCGTGGAGGCGATAAGACGGGTGTTAGAGACTGCCACTGGTAGATCGTATCCAAGAGGGCAGAAGATCTCATTACAAGGAGTTGGTGCGTACTTTCCTTCTGATGTTTCGGCTGCGCTAATTTGAGTAGAGTCAATTCGAATGGGAACTACCGTCGCAACCAATGCCTTACTTGAGAGGAAAGGAGAACGTACAGCTTTCGTTGTTACAAAGGGTCTTAAGGTGGGCAATGTCAGAATTCGCTGGAGCTTGAATTAATTCTGTGACAGGACTTGCTCCATATCGGCAATCAATCCAGACCAAAGCTCTTCGATCTCGCAATCAATAAACCTGAAGTCCTTTATTCTAAGGTCATAGAGGTTTCGGAACGAGTTACTCTGGAAGCTTGGACTGAAAGCAAACAGCCCTTTTCTATTGATGTCCAGTCAGATCCTGCACTAGTAGAGGGAATTACTGGAGAAGTCGTAAGAGTATTGGAGCCTCTGGGTAAGTGTTTCGGCAAAATTCAAAATAAGAACTCGCTGATTCCCATGATATCAGATCTCGAAGCTACAAGACAGTCTTTGCAAGAGGTTTACGACGAAGGATTCCGCTCCATTGCCATTTGTCTAATGCATAGCTATACGTTCCGTGATCATGAAACTGCCGTTGGAAAACTTGCCGAGGAGATCGGATTTACTCATATTTCTTTGAGTGCCGAGCTCTCGCCGATCGTAAAGATTGTACCGCGAGGCAATTCCGCAACAGTAGACGCATACTTGACACCAGAAATTAAGAAGTACCTGCGCGGGTTTGAAAGTGGTTTTACAGACTTGAAGACAAGTGGCTGTCGTTGTGAATTTATGCAGAGCGATGGCGGCCTTGTGGAGTTCACTGGATTGTCTGGTCTGCGGTCAATCTTGTCAGGCCCTGCAGGAGGCGTTGTCGGGTACGCAAGAACCTGCTATGACCCCGAAGAAAAGACCCCCGTCATAGGTTTTGATATGGGTGGAACAAGTACGGATGTGTCCCGGTGAGTGGTGCTGGGGAGTTTGAATCGATGAAGAACGTTTGCTAATGAGGAGCCAGTTATACCGGTGAGCTGGAACAGATTTTCGAGACTACCACTGCGGGCGTTATTGTGCAAAGCCCCCAACTTGACATCAATACAGTTGCGGCGGGCGGTGGGAGCATTTTGACCTGGCAGAGTGGTATGTTCAAGGTTGGTCCAGAGAGCGCGTCTGCATATCCTGGACCAGCATGCTATCGTAATGGCGGTCCTTTGACGGTGACCGATGCAAACTTGGTTCTGGGTCGACTTCGACCAGAGTTCTTTCCAAAGATCTTTGGAGCCAATGAGGATTTGCCTTTGGATGTGGACGCAAGCCGACAGCTTTTCGAAGCTCTTACAGCTGAGATCAATCTCGAAGTAGATCCGAAGCTGACTGTGGAGGAAGTAGCCGCTGGGTAAGATCAAATTCGACCCGGCTATATGTTCGCATGCTTACAACAAAAACCAATAGCTTCTTAGATGTTGCAAACGAGGCAATGTGCAGACCAATCCGGACTCTGACTGAAGCTAAAGGGTACGATGCCGGTCTTCATAACCTCTCGTCTTTCGGTGGAGCAGGCGGACAGCATGCATGCGAGATCGCCAGAACTCTCGGCGTGTCCAGAATCCTGATTCACAAATACTCCTCAGTGCTTTCTGCATATGGAATGGCTCTTGCAGACTTAGTCCACGAAGAACGAAGTCCATGCGCGGTTACATATAGCGACGAGAATTTGCCACTTTTCAATGCTGAGCTTGACAAGCTACAAAGAATCTCGATCGAGGCTCTGGTCAAGCAACAAATACCCAAGGCTCGGATTACATCAGAGAGATACCTTAATATGCGTTTCCATGGAAGCGATACAGCACTGATGATTCAAGCATCCACAGAAAAAGGAAGCTTCCTAGTTGCGTTTGAAGATGCTCACCGCAAACAGTTCGGATTTGTACCAGCAGGCCGTGAAGTTATAGTCGATGATTATCGGGTACGATCAGTCGGGAAGAGCTCCTTAGACATGCCTATTTCATGGTCAGCCGAACTTCAGTCAATAGATGCCAAGGTCCTCCAAGGAGCGGATCTTGCGAAGAAAGTGTACTTCAGAGGCTTCGGGTGGTGCCACACCCCAGTTCATGGTCTCGGCGAGACACCCCAGGGTTCCAAAATCAAAGGCCCTGCACTGATAATGGATGACAAACAAACAATTGTCGTCATTCCTCAGGCTACTGCTACTATCCTATCGAACATGATCATTGTTGATGTCGAAGTTGGTAGGAAAGATACTGTATCCGCCTCAAAAGCCGACCCGATCCAGTTGTCGATCTTCGGTCACCGATTCATGGGAGTTGCTGAGCAAATGGGTCGCGCTCTTCAGAAAACAAGTGTGAGCACTAACATTAAGGAACGCCTCGACTTTTCCTGCACAGTCTTCTCTCCTGATGGCGGCCTTGTAGCTAATGCCCCTCATGTTCCCGCAATGGTATGTACTCGGAACTTTTGCTCTTTTAATAACATGCATTTGCTGAGAGATTCAAGATTGGAAGTATGGCATTTGCTGTGAAGTGGCAGATCGAGCACTGGGGTGATAATCTACGACCCGGAGATGTTATTCTCTCGAATGCACCAGGTCAGTACTGTGCACTTCAGATTTTGTTGATATGGACAACTAATCCGACGAGCTAGAATGTGGCGGTACTCATCTTCCTGATCTGACAGTCATTACCCCTATATTCGACATCGAAGGAAAGAAGATTATTTTCTGGACCGCTTCTAGAGGACATCATGCTGATGTGGGTAACATCCGGCTGCGAGTCGCCTATTTATGCTAACATTACATAGATTGGCGGTATTCTGCCCGGGTCCATGCCTCCTAATTCAAAAGAGCTCTGGGAGGAGGGCGCAGTTATCAAGGCTTTCAAGGTTGTCGAGGGTGGCGAGTTCAAAGAAGCAGAACTTACTGAACTTCTGATGGCGCCAGCAAAGTCACCAGGTTGCCAGGGTACCAGATGTCTTCGAGACAATGTCTCCGATATCAAAGCCCAGGCTGCTGCAAACCACCGTGGAAGCCAGCTAATCCATTCACTGATAAAAGACTATGGTCTAGAAGCAGTGCAGTTCTACAGTATGTTGCCTTCACTCATGGACCTCTTCGTAATACTGAACAGCAACAGTGGAGGAAATACAAGGCGCCGCAGAACGCGCAGTGCGAGACATGCTACGGACAATTTACAAATCCACGAGCGGGAAGCCCTTGGAAGCTGTTGACTACATGGATGATGGTACACCGATCCAGCTGAAAGTTACGATCGACGGGTCCACAGGCGGTGCGATCTTTGACTTCGAAGGCACTGGCCCCGAAGCTTATGGTACATCTCTCATCTGACCTTTTTGATACAATGTAATCTCTAACTGGAAATAGGAAATTGGAACGCCCCCATCGCAATTTGCAACTCATCTATCATCTTTGCACTACGCTGTATGGTGAACATGGATATCCCGCTCAATCAAGGAGCCATACGCCCCATCGATGTTCGTATACCTGACTGCTCGCTCCTTAAGCCATCAGAAGATGCAGCTGTCTGCGCCGGAAACGTTCTAACCTCTCAACGTATCGTTGATGTGATCTTCAAGGCTTTTAACGCAGTCGCAGCTAGTCAAGGATGCATGAATAACCTCACCTTTGGAACGGACGACGAGGAGAATGGCTTTGGGTACTACGAGACCATCTGCGGCGGGTCTGGTGGTGGGCCAACCTGGGATGGTACAAGTGGCGTGCATACCAACATGACCAACACGCGTATCACAGATCCTGAGGTCCTTGAGAGAAGATACCCAGTTATTCTGGAAAGATTTTGTCTTCGAGAAGGAAGCGGAGGAAACGGAAAATATAGAGGTGGTGATGGAATCGTAAGGGACATTGTCTTTCGCACCCCAACAAAGGTGTCTATCCTGAGTGAACGGAGAACATTCGCACCGTACGGGCTCGAAGGAGGGGATGATGGAAAGCGGGGCCAGAATCTTTGGATCAAGAAGACTGGCCGGGTGATAAACTTGGGAGGCAAGAACACGGCAATGATGGAGGCGGGCGATAGAATCGTTATTCTCTCTCCCGGTGGAGGTGGATGGGGGAAGCCCAGCGCCGCTAAGAGCGAAGGTCACCCCTTGGAGAAGTTGGTCACAAAAGTGAAGCAGGGATTTGTGGGTGTAGCTAATGGAACCGTGGATATCATCCAGTCTATGGGCGAATCTGCATGAGGTTGACCGGTATACATGGTTGTAGTACCTTCACATTTGAGGGTTCTTGTATTATAGATATAGATTCGATGTTCTGCAAGATAGTACTTGTTAACACTGAGCAACTAATCCTACGAACAGCATGGGCAGAATCCATGATTAGACATAGGATTCTACGACCGTTGAAAGCATTTGCAACTATTTCTGAGTCCTGTCTATCACCGCATAGAATCAACCCTTACCTCTCCAAAGAACGTTCAAACTTGTATAGTCATGACGGCTGGTGTTGAACCGTAGTAAATCCTCGCTGGAGGATTAGACATGCTCGGTCCTGTTGGCAATATTTACGCGTACATCTGGAGTAGGAAACTGCATATTCTAGAGATAATTGCCTAAGGAGACAGGCATGCAGCTTTGAGCACATCGCGACGTGATGACTCCCGGGAGGAGCATTTTCCAACCCTGTATCAACCATCAAATGACGACCGTATGAAAACTAGATTGTGAGCTACGCTTTGTTGTTGGAACAACAGATGCTCTCCTACGTGACCCATGATGTTGAAAATAGTGGAGCTCCTGGCAAGGGGCGAGCGGGGAGGAGCTCCTCCGGATACATCTGTCTGAGCGTGTGAGTTGTTCCCACTAATGAGCCACTGCATGCTCCTCCCGCGGATCTCTCCCATTTGATCACCAATGTAGTCACAAGGACGCAGGATGAGCTATCATGTTTGCCAACTCTTACTGTAACATCCGCTTTAGCACATTCCACAGTGTTGCACATCGGAAGAGTGTTAAGCATATAATAATGGTTATCATATCTCAAAGGCCATTCTCGAGATTTGATTCACATTGAACATCTTAACAGAGGTTTGAATATTGATCTCCTTCACAATGGCTCCCAGCATCGATCTGCTTCCAGAGTACTCACTACCGCCACCTACCAAAGAAAACTGTTAGTAGTGCCAGATAACCCAACCTCCGTCGAATGACATTGACTGAAACAAATACAGTGGACTATGTCGACCTCGTGAATTTGGATCTCTCGAAGTTCGATGATCCTGTTGGCAGAAAGGAGCTCGCAAGAGAGCTCTACGAAGCTGCCACCGGCTACGGTTTCCTCACCCTCACCAACCATGGCATCTCAGACGAGATTTATATGCGTCAGATGCGTATTGCAAATGCTGTGATGACACTTCCACCAGAAAAAAAGGCTCCTTATGAAGGTAGGAATAGGTACTCAAGTCTGCGGTGCAATGTTAACTTGCGATAATAGTTACCCCTGAGGAGGACGCCCGCGGACTCTACGTCGGCTATAAACCCGCAGGACCGCTCGGACACAAAGGAGGGTTTCCGAAGCAGTTGGATCACTTCAATCTGCTTGTTCACGACTCCAAAGAAGGTCGTCAACATCCTGAGGTCTTCCGTCCATACATGCCGGAGACCTACGAGGTCATGCACTTCATCAGAAACAACATCTTGAAGAAGCTGCTTAGGCTTGTTGCAATGATCTTAGAAGTGCCAGAAGAAGCGGTGCTGTCTACTCACGCGCCAGGTGGATCCAAAACCGAGTATATTCGTTATGTGAGTTTTGAAAGCCCCGGTCATCCTGGCCCTGATCTAACAGATTTCTCAGATGATGTGCGAGCCTCGCTCAAAGGAAGAAAGCGAGAAATACCGTGATATCTTTCTATCTGGTCATACTGACTGGGGTACATGGACTTTCCTTTTCTCACAGCCGATTGCTGCACTCCAGGTGTTGTGCCACCACACTGGTCGGTACAGATGGGTCAAGCATCAACCCCGCGGCCTCGTTGTAAACTTCGGCGAAGCCCTCGAGCGACTTACCGGCGGACTTTTTAAGGCCACAATTCATCGTGTTATTCAGCCACCAGAGGACCAGCGCCATCTGCGTAGAATTGGTGTTATCTATTTTGCTCGTCCAGCCGACGAGAGAGAGCTTGTGCCCATCGAGAACTCCCCACTGTTGGAGCGTCTTGGAGCTGACAAGCCAATTGACGATAGGATCTTCTGCATGGCTGATTACCTTGATGCGAGAAAGCACGGTTGGAAGAGATATGAATTTGACATTGATCGGCCTAGAGACTCTACGAAGCATGCAGACTTCTTCGACGGAGAGTATCCTGACCCCGACGGACACAAGAGCCTTGGCAAGTTTGACAACGTACCAAGAGTAAACTACAGCATTCCCAAGGTGACGGCTTGAAAGAATACTAAGAACAGGATAGGATAAACATGTAGCTTTGAGATTTTTTCCAAGAGAAAGATTCTAGTCTTATCCAGACTCTCCATCTCGCGAGATATTTTAACAGTCTCGTTCATCAACTCCAAGTTGATCTATTTGCAAGTGTATAGATTGTGGTCCAGTATGAAAGTTCCCATTCGCGTGAGAACCGAAGCTTGAATTAGATAAAACTCAAGAGAACCTAGCTTTGCAGGCTTGATAGAGCCGTCCACCCTCCATCTACATAGGGATGTCCACGTTATACCGTCACTCTTGGAAGAGTCTGCGCAATTACCGTATCGTCTTCAATTTCTTCAAAACCCATCTACAGACGCCCCGCTTCCAAGTTTCATCCTTTGACCCGCTTGATAAAAGGCGCCTCCCAGCAACTCCTTTGGGCGCTGAGTTAGTGAGTGATTTAGTGGCTTGGTAGTGCTGCGCGATGTGGTATCCGCTGGCTGTCCTCCCCACTGCTAATCAAATCGACTTGTCGCGCATGCTATAGATAAGTAAGGCGCCGTGTCCTCGTTTTCTTATCTTGCATTGGACCGAGCCAGGACACTACCTTACGTATTTGACTCCGCACGGTCTCCGTAGATCTCCCTGGCTCACCCGAGTGACACACTAAGCAACAGTCACTCGTAGTACCCGATTACCCCGACTTCATGCCTGCTCGGTTTTAAATTGTCAGCCCGTCATTCGCCCATGTCGGGAGGAGCACCTCCCAGACGCCAGTACGACGACAGGCATTCAGTCAGTTCAGGTCCGTGCCAGTCTAGCCAATAGGATGGCCCGACCCGTCTTAGCTTGACCTGTCTCCCGCCACAAGAGATATCGATATCGTAGAACAGCCAAGTTCTTGGACAGGAGCACCTCTCACCCAGGGTGCGCTATATCTGGCTTTTGGTTTGATATCGGTATCAGGGGATTGATCAGCGTGGACACATCCGGGATCTCCAATTGCAGGATAAAAACCCGGGACTGCACGCGCATGTGCAAGTAGTACGTGAGCAGACAAAGGCCAGACAGTGTAGTAACTTGTTGGCTCTTTGCAAGTCTTCTTCTCAAAGAGGGCCCTCTCCTTACTTGTGTCAAGTCACGCGATTGCTGTTGACTCCTGCTCCCAAGTCTGGCTGCGTTCTTGAGTTGGCACTTTAAGAGGTTTATATTGTGGCCGCAGAAGTCACGATTACCTGATCACATACACTTGATATCTACAGCCATGGGTGTCTCTTCGCGTGTGAAGGAGTATTTTCGGGGTGCACCAACATCGGCACTCGAGAAGAAGCTCGTGTTTAAACTCGACTTCTTCATCCTGACTTTCTGCTGTTTAGCATATTTCATGTGAGTATTGCAGTCGAGTTGAGTTGCGTTATCTGAATTAACAAGGCCGTTAGGAACTATCTGGATAGATCTAACATTACTCAGGCATATGTCTCGGGTATGAAAGAGGACCTTGGATTTGAGGGTGCCGACCTGACCGTTATAAACACTATTTACTCGGTTGGCTATCTCATGTAGGTACCCTCCGCTTCTGCATTTGAATATTATCTATATGAGCTAATGTTTCCATAGTGGAATCATTCCTAATGGAGCACTTCTGACGTATTTTCGCCCGAGAATCTTCTTTCCCACCATGATCACTATATGGGCAGGGTTCACAATGTGCACAGCTGCTGCAAAGCGACCTGAGCACATCATGGCTATCCGATTCTTCCAGGGATACGCCGAGTCCTGCTCCTTTGCTGGCACACATTACCTCCTAGGTTCCTGGTACACGGAAAGAGAGCTCGGAAAGAGAAGTGGTATATTCACTGCTTCTGGCCTCGCTGGCGGAATGTTTGGCGGATTCTTGCAATCCGGCATTCACAAGTCTATGAATGGGCTACATGGGCTTCCTGGATGGCGTTGGCTGTACATTGTGAGTACTGCTGTCTTCTATCTGACTCCACCTCATGCGATTCAGCAAAGCTCATACTGGCAAATACAGATTGACGGAATTATTACACTTCCCGTAGCTCTCTACGGATTTCTTCTCTTCCCAGATACTCCGGCTACCACAACAGCGCCTTATCTGTCGGCCGCAGAGAAAGAGCTCGCCATTACTCGGGTGCCACAAGTTGTTGGAAGTCCAGTGCTGGAAGTTGCTTTTGTGAAGCGCGTTCTATCGACCTGGTATTTCTACGCATTTGGCCTTCTATGGATTCTAGCCAATTGCTCGGAAGCAGCGAGCTCACAGTCGCTTTTGAACTTGTATATGAAGAGCCACCCGACGATCAAGTACTCGGTCTATCAGCTGAACAACTATCCTACTGGTGTACAAGCTGTTGGCATTGTCTCGACGCTATTCTGGGCATGCTACACTGACATCTTTGGCAAGAGATGGATCACTGGTTACTTCAATGCTCTCACTGGTATCATCACCTCTGCGATTATCCTTGCCCCAAGCACTTCCACCGCGGGCATCTTCGGCGCATATTACTGGGCTGCAGCAATTTACTGCTGCCAGGCTACTTTCTTTGCGTGGGCAAACGATAGTCTCAGAGGACAACCACACACCATTCGTGCTGTGATCATTGCTTCGATGAACTTTGGAGGCAACACATTTCAAGCGTTTTGGCCACTAATATTCTACCGAGCAGATATGGCTCCCATGTTCACTGTAGGTGCTTCAATTTCAATTCTAACGACCAAGACTAACATGCATCAGCGTGGCATGTGGGCTATGATTGGTGTCTGTATTTCCTTGTCTATTTGGGTGACAGTTATGGTCATTCATGAGAAGAGACACCCGAGGACTTTGCAAGGTGTGTTGGTGGAAGGTGTGCCTGATAACATCTCTGCCACGCACGAATCTGGAGAAGGATCCCTCTATCAGCAGACGGTGACCGCGAATAAGTCAGCTAACGAGTAATTGCCGTTTCAAAGCGGCGCTGTGCTGTTTCGCTAGCGTACTCTTCGTTGTCCCGGGTCTGCATTGTGCCTCGACGGCGGTCGGTGTCGCCCGGGTTACCCCTTTTGTCCAATATGCGGGGAGCGCTCTACGGTCACTAGGAATTAGGTTGATAGATGCCTGCTATCTGATTGTCATTGAAATGAACCAGCGAGTCACAGGATGAGCGATGATAGACTCTCAACAGAGATATGCCGTGGGTGATACTTGGCCTGTGAATCCGTGGCTGACGATCCATGGAAGTTGGGAGGAGCTCCTCCCAACCGTTAGGTTAGCCCCTGTCTGATATGGTTGTAGCGCATCAGCCCCACTAATCCCCACGGCCTATGATTGCTGGCAGGCAGAGATGAGGATTGCTTGCAGCGACTATGACGGCACAGCCGTCGCGTTGTGGTCTGGGGCATCAGTACCTAGGTAGTCGCTTGCTCCGCTGCCCGTGAACGAGATCAGCTTGGAGCATCACAATTTGCTAGGTCTACAACAGTTACTTGAAGGACGAGGTATACAATTTTCCGTTTTTCCTCTAAGTGATAGATACAAGTCTTAAATGCGCTAGCGATCCGTACTCCTGAGCGTCTAATTGACCAGATTCCCGCCTACTCGGCTGCCGTATATCGTTCCTATTCTCCTTGGGCGCCGTGATGGGAATGGAGGATGGGAAAAAAGGATAATGGTCGTAATTTGGAATTCGCACTGGCAGCAAAGTACTGTACAGTATAGGACAGTACCGTACTTCCCCTGAAATAGGCACTAAAGGGGCCCGTCTCACACTAACTATCGCTGTGGGTCGGCGATACTTCCCCCGCTGATAAAGGCCCCAAGGCGAGATAAGCCCTCTCCTCCATTATCGACGACGGTCGTCGAAAGAGCCAACTAATGTGAAGTCTGGCTGAAGCGGACTTGCTGTCTACTACCTCACCACGCAAAGCACGAAGCAATATACATAAATAGGTGGTATTTTTTTGCACTCGCGACAGTGAAAAGCCATATCTACCGAAGCTTGGTCCCACGATGAGCACGCGGCCGATCTCAGACACGGAGAAGTTGGAACAGAATTCTACTACCGCCACATCACCAAGTGCAACTTTACGCCCATTCGCATGTCCTGCGTGTCCAAGTCGCTTTACTCGCCTTGTAAGTTACGCATTGTGTGATAACGGTGACCCTGAACTAAGGATTTGCAGGAAAACTTGAACCGACATACTCGTTCAGGTAACAACAAATATCCTGGATACAGATATGACGAGGCATATGCTGACGCCTCTTCTGTAGTTCACCGAGAATCCAACAGGAGGCCATTTCCATGCCCCCACTGCGATGTATCCTTCTCGAGGAGGTATGGCGCTCATGAATATGATCTATGACCGCCTAGTGTCTTTGTTGCTAATAACTACTAGCGATCTGAGGAAACGGCATGTTAAGAAATGCCATCCTCCTGCCACTTCTGCAAAATCTTCTCCTCCAGAGTCACTACCCCAACTTACATTAGACCTTGAAACGGTAAAGCTCCACTACATTCGTAATTTGACCATCGAGTATACTAATCATCATATTCCACTCCACGTAGACGAATGAACTAGGCCCAGACTTGTTCTCAGCTCAACACATCTCATGGCTATTTAGGTTACCTCAGTATATTGCGGCATATTTTGAGAGATTTCATCCTACTTTCCCTACTCTTCACGAAGCAACCTTTGACCTAGCAACGACCAAGGAGCCTCTACTCCAAGCGGTTGCTTGTATCGGTGCAGTTTGCCATTCCCCCACTCCTGATCATAGGATCAGTGTAGCGTTGTTCGAGGCTGGTTTCAATTTCCTAGAGCAATATGTGTGTTTACCCCGTACATGATAGGAAGACCTTGAGACTAATTGCCTAGCAAGACTAGAGAAGATCGTTCAAGGCTCAGGGAAATCTGGACTATTCAAGCATACCTTCTTCTCGAGTATTTCGCCATCTACAGCTGCCAGGATGACTTATTCCCAAAAGGGTTAGCCATTCATAGGAAGCTCGTTGATGCCGTTCGAGAGTTTCAATTACTGCAACAAGAGGCATCACCAACGGGTGGAAGCGACACTGGTGCCTCACCAGGTCAGAATGGTGATGTCCTCGGCTTATTATTGCCTTTGCAGGAGCCAGAAGCCACAGAGAAGCGCTGGCGGTCTTTTATCGATCAAGAATCTCAAAAGAGGTAATATCATACTTACTTATTTGCCGTCTAAACTGTCCTGACTCCTTTGTCAACCTCAATTAACACGGTCTTAGAATCATGTACTCTATATACTACATGGACTGTCAAATATCAATCAGCTGCAATTTGAGGCCACTATTATCTGCTCTTGAGCTGAAGTATGAGCTACCATGCCGAGATGACTTCTGGTATGCTCCTTCTGCAAATGCTTGGAGCATCCTACTGCAAGAGCAGAACCCTTCATTCAACATGAATGAAGAAGATGATTATGACGGCAACCCAGAACCTCGTCCAGCACAAGGAGATCTCTATGAAAGCTTAATGCATCTCATTCGTCCAGACCGCACTACGGGACAGCCATTAGGGCTGTTATGGTATTCGCCATTTGCATCTCTGATGTTGATCATCCAGATGCAGATGATGATCCGTGAGCTCACACTCTCAAGTGCTTTCTTTTACGGAAATGTGCGATCCGACACAAGACATAACTTGTATGTTAAATGAAAGAATCAATGAGTTCTACATGTTGACAGTACTAGGCCGGTCATATCAGAAGAGAACCGCAGTCCAGTGTATCAGGCTCTGAATAACTTAGCAGGTAAATTTTGAGGTTGCCTCACTGCAGAATGTTTCGACTGACCATGGACTACAGATATGATTCCAAAGATAGCCACCCTGGGCTATTTGAATGGACCAGGAACAAGTGGTGCAAACGATACAAGCCAATGCAGCCCTGCAAGCAAGGCCTTATGGCATTCTGTTTGGATGACATGGCACTACACCGCAATCAGCTTGACACATTCTGATGCATTATTGACGACTGGTATTGTGGAAAGTGGGTTGCCAGCTGCATTATCAAGTATGTCTCAAGCCAGCCTTGTGCACTAACTTCGCTAACCTAGACTTAGCATGCTGGGAGCTTGGAAAGCCTCGGGCTAAACATCAGAGGGACGTGTACGCGGACAGAGACGTTACACGCATCGTAAGTCGCTATGGTCACAAGTATCTCGATGAACAGCGTCATCTAATAAGCACTTAGTTCGACAATCTTGAACAAGTAATTGAGCTCATGAATGCTCCACCGAGCATATCGACCACACGAGACGGGGTTGAAGTGCATCAATGTGTAGAAGACCCCTTTATCAGCATGCTAGGATTCAAGACTTGTATGATGGGCTGGCGGGTGGTGCGATTGATGACCCTCGGTATCAATCAATCGGTCAGGGTCGGAGCGCTGCCTGTGAAGCCGGGTATATACACATCGGCGGCTCAAATTGTCTTGGCTCGATTGATGGAGGTCATCCGTACTCGAAAGAGTCACATGGAAATGTCCGAGGAAACTCTCCTTGGTGTTCAGGGAGATCCGACGGCGACAAATTTTGAAAGTCGTTATCTCGACTGGGCAACCGAGGCATTCTCTTCTCGAGACATATGGCCAAGTGGGGCTTGGATGCAGTTGGTATTTAAGGAGACTCAGAGAGATCTGATTCAACTTTTTGATCTTATCTGAGCTACATAGAGGACGCTGATTATCTGCATTCCACCTCGGACCCATTCACAGTCCATCAAAATCAGGGTATGTGCCGCCAGGCTCGTCTCGAACAATATTCTCTCCCAAAATCTTGTCGAAAATGGGATCAGTTCTGATCCGCATGTAGTAATCATGTACAACTGGATGTTTCGCAGCCCAACTCTTCGTAAACACCTTACACTTGGTTAGTTTCGAGATCTCTCGCAGGCTGCGGTCAGTGAGTATCTTACATATTGGTAACCTCTCGCCAATCCTGAGACGACGAACAGATCCGCAATTGTCAGCGTTTCGCCAACGAGAAACTTCTTGCCAGTGATCTCTTTCTCAATCGCCCGAATGGTAAGCTCGCAGTTTTGCTCTAATTGTGCGAGTATTTCTGGGCTTGAGGGAGCACGGCCGATGATGGGGTTGATCCACGCCATGATCGGCGGTAGCAACTCATAATTGGTGAAAGAAGACCACCGCAAGCATGTTGTCTCCTCTTTCAGATTTGAGCCCAGCAGCCCGGCCTTAGGGTCCTGCTTTGCCACTACCGAGGGCAAATCTGTATGAGCAAATGGATACACCAATTATACGATTTTCACTTACAAAACCACGCAACAGCTATGCTTTCGTACACGCAGAACCCATCAGAAGTCTCAAGTGCTGGCACCTTTCCTGTGTGGAATTTTGAGAAGTATTCGTCACCAACTCCCCCTCGATCGGTGTAGACCTTGATGGGTAGCGCATTCACGATCTCAACATCAAGTTTGAGATACTCTGCAATATATAGCACCATTGTTGAGCGTGGCGCTTTGGGATATGTGTATAGCTTGCCGAACGACATTTTGGCCTTATTGATTCAGGTATGATAAGTGTGGTGAGTGAGTAGGAGGCAAGGTTAGTGACTTAGATGATCATGAGACCAGTAGAGATGTCTCGTAGGCTTCAAGCATAATATGGTAGATATACTAGTCCCAAGTGGATTCTGGATAGGTGGAAGCTACGGTTGCGAATCTAAACTACCGGAGATCTAATTGCCCCCTATTCTGCGATGCTACTGTTCGGGATGCATGCACCTCCCAGAGACGGGAGGAGCTCCGCCTGTTAACATAGTCTCCACCCGTGGCTCCACCACGCCTAACAATGCTGCCAGTCTCCGCTGCCCAGCCGCCGATTCGGAGATGAACCGAGATCCTCGTGCTCTAATCTCCTCCAAGGCAGATAAGTTGCAGCTACCACTTCGGGTAATCTGCGATCAGTCGCTGCCCTATCTTAGTCAATCAAGTTGTAACGAATTCAAGTTATCCATTCATCACTAACAAAATGTCATTCTCGTAAGTCAAATCTTGGAGTCAATAGCGCAGTAAAAGAGCTGTAGCCACTGACCGAATATCCAAATAGACATGTGCTCGTCACCGGTAGCACTGGGCTGGTTGGTGCTCATGTCGTAGACCATCTATTGAGCAGAGGAATTCGGGTCCGAGCAATTGCTCGGTCAAAGGCGAAAGCGGAGCGGATGCTCAAATCGCGGCCGCAGTACGCCGAACTTCTAAAGTTCGAATTCATAGATGACTTGACAACTCCTGGTGTCTTCGACAATGCTGTTAAGGGAATCGATGGGGTCATTCATATTGCTAGTGTAAGCTTTGATATGCCCCTATCTTAAAACTCCCACCGTTGATATTGACTCTCTAAATAGCCGTACACATACGACGTAGCGGATAACGAAAAAGAGCTCTTGATACCTGCAATTCAAGGTGTCAGATCGGTTCTAGATGCTGCTTCCAAGAGTGAAGTGAAGCGCATTGTGTTAACCTCATCCTTCGGTGCAGTTCTTGATATGGGACAGCCGGAAGGCTTTCCGCGGACATATTCATCGAAGGATTGGAACCCTATCACCTACAGCGAGACCGCTGACTCCAAGGCTTTAGCACAAGATGCTTACAGAGGATCAAAGAAGTTTGCTGAGCTAGAAGCCTGGAACTTTATCAAGGCAAAGAGTCCAGCCTTCGATGTTGTAACTCTATGTCCATCCATGATCTTTGGCCCTGTGGCTACTCCAGTGGAGTCTGCAAAAGACTTGAATGAGTCTAACTCAATACTATGGAGGATGGCTACGGGTGGATTGTCGCAGCCATTGCCGCCTGCAAGGTTCAATTTTTGGATCGATGTTAGGGATTTGGCTGAAGTTCACGTTCAAGCTCTTCTTACACCCGAGGCGGGAGGAAAAAGGTACTTGCCAGTGGCTCCAGAGAAATTCAATTACCAGATGGCTTCAGAAATCATACGTGGAGAGTTCCCTGCATGGGCTGAAGGGCTTGTTCCAACAGGGCAGCAAGAAATCAAAGAGCAGGTCAATGTCGATATGGATGAGATGAAGAGAGACTTTCCCGATATCAAGTATAAAACATTCCGGGAAACAGTCACAGATTTAATTGGGCAAGTAGCCTCGGCTGAGAGGCTGTAACTAGATGGAAACTATTATAGATGTCTCAGAGTCTTAATGCTTGAGACGATCATCTCACCATCTTCCTGCAGTGACTTCTATTAGATAACATAATCAACCAAACTTGTGAACTCTTTGAAGGAAACATAGAATAAAGGCCAGATGGCGAATAACCATTTGATTACTATCAGGCGTAGTTACCTTCCTGCAGTGCTATATGGTGTACACGGCCATGGATGGACTCTACCATTACGCCTGTTGCGGGAGATATACACTCATCTCCAGCCCTCCTTTGAATGGCAGTGTTACGTTGATGAAGCCATTCTTTGGATCACGTATATAAGCAAAGAAGTCGCCATATGAACCCGCGGATGAAATGGTGTTGTCAGCGATAATCACCGCACCATGGCGCAACTTCGGCTGCACGACCTGCAGTGTTGGCAGAGCCATTGGTGTCCATACTGCACAGTATTGTTTCAGTGGTCTGGAATACATGACACAACCGCGAACACTTACTGTCAAGGAGTAAGAAGTCCACGTTTTCCAAATTTTCCTTCAGCGTCTCCCGGAGGTCGCCCTCCCGTAGATCAATAACCCTGGTAACGTCCTGGCCGCACTCTTGCCAATATTCTCGAGCTTTGTTAGCCTTGGTAGGTTCATGCTCCGTTGCGACGACGATGCCGTTCCCGCCAGCTGCCGCAACATTGGCCGCGACAGCCAGTGCGAGGTAGATCGTGCTCACTCCGTACGAAGTCCCAGCCTCAACAATGGTCTTTGCATTGATGGCTCGACAGAGCTCATAAATGTACTGAGCCTTGTCCTCTTCAAGGGCAATGAATTTGTCCCTCATCACCTCGCCAAAGGTCTTGCCCTCCATACCTTCCTTTTCTAAGGCAGCTTCCTGAGCGAGCGATTCGCCATGAAGACGCGACAGAAGCGCGCGAATGTGTTCTGGCACGCCCTGAAGAGGGTTGGCAAGTGGAGCGGTATTCTGCCCTCCCGACATTGCAGTAGAATCGAAGCGAAGACTTAATACAGAGATCTGTCTCGAGCTAGTCGTCGAAAATAATATCTGTAGACTGAATAGTGAATCTCTCAATGGCCGAGTACATTCGGTGCTTGCATCCTGTCGTGAGCGGAGGGCTAGATTCTCCGCACGGCGCATGGGTTGCCGTCGGCAAGGGAATCTGTGGATTCTGATTGGGATGCTTTTTGTGGCGCGCCGAAAATCCGTAGTTTACGCAAAGTATTACTTAAAGTCACAATAACTTGATCTGAATAAGCTAAGCTTTTGTACGACCTGAAAGAGGAGCAAATGAAGCTTTGCCGCCCCCGCCTTTCATGTTCACCAGGCTTGGCTCCGATAGCCGTGCACAGATATCTGATGATCGGATAAGATTAGATCGGGGATACCTTGCAACAGTCACTTGCCGGTACAAGTGGATCACGTTCATTGGATCTTGTATTCGGCTATTAGGACTCGGCTTGATGATACGGTACCGTAACGCGGAGAGCACCGCGTTTCAGGCTGTAATGCCTCAAGTCATCCAAGGCTTAGGCGGTGGCCTTATGACCGCCAACACTATGGGAGTCGCTCAAGCTTCGGTGCCCCATCAAGAAGTGGCTATCATGACAGGTTTCATATTGCTAGTCCTAGAACTAGGCAGCGCTATCGGAAGTGCTGTTGTTGGGGCCGTGCAGAAAGAACTTCGTGGAGAACTGCATATCTATTTGGATCCTCTGGTGAATTCAACAATTGTTGATACTATCTATGCGCAGGGTAGTGGCGCTGTTATCGCATTCCCTTTGGGCACACCCGTTCGGACAGATATCATCAAAGCATGGACTGTCAAACTGCAACACATTCTTACAGGCGCCATATCGATTGCCGCGGTAGATGTCATTCTGTGTACTTTGTTAGCAGATGAAAGACTCTCCGACAACCAGAACTTTGTAGATGATGAACCTGCTTCAACGTTGATGCCCATTACTTTGAGGAAATTGAAGCCGTTGGGAGAGGAGGAAAAGTGATATCTCGCTGCTGAGTTGATACATTCCGACTTGACTCATTTTACAATTCAGAGCCTAAATAGACGGATGTGGAATAAATGGTTATGCCAAAGCGATTTCATTTAGAAAATCTGTCTATATCTTGGACGGTCGGTCCCGGCGAAGTCTCGCAGGGAGCAGCCTCTTCATGATTTTACCGCTTCCAGTTTTAGGGAGTTCATCGAGAACCTCGACACCACCTCTAAGCTTTTTATAAGATGCCACCTTTCCATCCACATGAATCCGAATATCGCTTAATATGGAGCTGGGATCTCTACTCGACATGGCTCGCTTGCCTTCTTCTGTCAGCGTTACATAGGCGATTGGCACCTCGGTGCCAGTGTCAGCGTCCCATAAGGCACAGACAGCGCTTTCCGCTACATGAGGATGGTCATTCAGATGACCCTCTAACTCTGCAGGGGGTACTTGAAGGCTTGCGATTATCATCATTAGCCAGACCTCGAATCATGTACACGCAAATCAATAAATACATACCCTTTATACTTAATGAGTTCCTTCATGCGATCAACGAGAAACATGAACCCATTGTTATCAATGCGCACAAGGTCGCCAGTCCGTAGCCAGGTTCCACTTGAGTCGCGGATATATGTGCCCGCTGTGGAGGCAGGGTCCCTCAGATAGCGCCTGAATACACTCGGTCCTCGTACAACGCACTCTCCAAGTGCGCCTGGCTTGACATCCTTTCCATCTTCATCAATAATACGGCACTCAATCCCGGCAAACAATTTGCCTACGCTTCCAATCACATGGGCCTGGCTGGGTCGTAGCATAGCTATATTAGTTTCGGTCATGCCGTAGCCTTGGTAGAGTGGCGCGTTAGGAAACTTGGCATGTAAGAAGTCAATGGTAGCCGATGGCAGCACTGCGCCGGAGCACATGATGAATCGTACACTCTCAAGACCTTGAAGATGCTTCTCGGGAAGCTTAGCCATCGACACTGCGATGGTGGGAAGTATGCGCATGATGTGGGCTTTTGTGTTGGCGCATGTCCGAACGTAGTTGACCAACTCGAATCGCTCCATTAGAGAGGTGTAGTTACCCAGCCAGGCACCCATGAGCACAATGGTCATCAGGCCATAGATATGACAAAGTGGCGCAAAAAAGACCCCGCGGACAGAGGAATTCCATGTTGTTGGGTCTGATGTGCGGCAAGAAATCATAGTTGCAAGTAAGTTGTGATGCGACAGCTCTACGCCTTTGCCTTTTCCTGTAGTCCCGGAGCTGAAACATACGACTGCAGTAAAATCTCGATTATCTCGATCACTTAGATCCAAAGGCGGGAGCCTGGGAACTAGGCCTCGGTACATCTCTGTGCTTTGAAGCATCTTGGCAGCAGCGAGTTGTCAGCACTGCGATTCATGGATCAGAGACCGATACTTCACGAACCTGTGGATCCGATGGTGCAGTGGAATCATTCGCTACAAAGATCTTTTGCGATGTCCATCTCTCTGCTTTCAGTGCCTCGTCTATCTTTGGCCAGGTCGCATCATTTGCTGCTATTATCTTAGGCTTCGACAGATTAACATAGTGAATGAGCTCTGTCACTGAACTCAAAGGATTGATGAGGCTGGGTTGATTTTCTAATGTGAGTCATCGTATCCTTTCTATTTTCCCAGAGTCTAATTTGCTGACCCAAATATGCAACTTACACTGCAGTTCCACCAGCCCAAATGATGGCATGGATGAGTCTCACAACTTCGATAGAGTTTGGGGCACATACGCAAACCGTATCTTCATCACGGAGGCCAAGGTTCTGCTTGAAAGTCCAGGCTGCCCGAGCTGCATCCTCTCTTAATCCCCGGTAACTAATGGTACGATTGTTGCCAATATCCTCTAGGATGATTTGGTCATCGGGCGCGTCATCAGGATTATATCGTTCTAGAAACTGAGATATTGAGATGTCAGTGGGAACACTGGATGCCGGGCCGTAATTCGACCGGTAAATATGTGGCTGTCCAATTTGATCGTTCATATTACGGCTCCCATGCACAAACGCTCGCGAAGTGCCCGGGAAAACGGCTACTATGATGGGGAATGGTTTCTATCGCCGAATCTCATTTACAAGGACTCGTCTCCTTTCGGCGTGAGCAATGGCAGGCAGCGTGCCGTATTGATGCTTGATGAAATACGTGCTCGATGGCCGTCCCTCAAAGTAGGTGATCAGTCGATACAAAGGTTTGTGAATACAACTTGACTGTTCTCACCCTTGCAAGTCGTCATTGGATACGTCGGAAGCCTTTTTCCTTCGAATGCAAATTCCATTTCCAGCCCCATCGGTATTAACGTCCCTAAACGCAAGGCTCGGAGCCGGCTTTAAAGACTGCCCAACAAGTATACAAGCGCGATCTTGGGGCTGCTCAAGAGACATTGTCATCCCGCTTCCCGCTAATGATTGTTATCGAAGCTTAATTGAGTCTTCCAACACACTAATTATCTCTAAAAAGTCCATTGAACACCCGAAACCCGAGAAGATATTAATGGTCAAGGCAACTCTTTACCCGAGGTGGTGGCTTTTAAAAGATGGAGGATGCGGGGGACGAGTCATTAGCTTCAGGACTACTGCCAAAATAGCAATCGGGGGGTGGATCACTACAGGACCTACCCCAGATCCTCCGCACACTGAGTGACCCCCTTGAGTGCCAGACCCCGCACGAATGCTGCCTGACACGCCAGTGTCCAGCTTGCCGGTATCGTCCTATGCCATAGACACTCGAGAAATTCGTACTCTGAGCTAGCTGACAATCTTATCTGCATGCAGTTTAGGTATACCGGACAACCCCTCTGCTACTGACTGTGGCTGTGATGTATTATTTGTTGATCAATTAGGATAATAATTTAGATGTTTTATTGTAAAGATACTGCCCTAGACTTGCACAATAGGGTACACGACCTGGAAATCAGCATTTACGTACTGATATTCTAGGTCCTCTAGCTTATAAGGCCACTGTACGCCCAGATTTCTTACAGTGATATTTTGAAGAGTATCTCCAAAATTTTAAAACATCGAAGACTTAGAGTTTTGTATTGATACACGTCATTTGCTATATTGTAGTTGTGTAAGTTATAAGCCCTGAATCTTAAGGTATACTGTATGCTTTAGTCAGATGGAATCAAGCACTTGAAAACTTATGACTTTAATATCGTAACTTGAACGGCCATAAAAGAGGCAAGTTTGAACCTCCAGGCTAGGCTATCAACCAATGAACGTATATAGTAGTTTCAGCGGATCATATGCACAATTACACAAGACAAATGCAGAGATTGAGATGATTGCCTAGCCAATCAATAGCTTTACCACGGTAGAACCCCCCCATCGATATCGATTATGCCTGACTTCTCAAAATCGGCATCCCGATCACCCATGATAATATTCACAAGCATCTCCGCCGGCTCCCTTGCGTCCCTCGCGCCATGCTGGATCCGCATCTTGCGGCCAGCCTCGCCGGTCAGGTTGGTCACTGTGAACCCCGGGTTGAAGGCACACACTTTGCAGCCCCACCCCGCAAAGTTGTACCGGTGGCACGCCGCCAGCATGTTCAGTGCGGCCTTGCTCATCCGGTACCACTCGGCCCGAGTGAAAGCGGATTTGGTGTTCGGATCCAACCTCTGCGTGACGGAACCCAGGTCCGAAGACACGTGTATGAGTCGAGGCTCCTTGGAATTTTTCAGGAGAGGCTCGAAAACCTCTGTGACCACATACGGGCCGATTGAGTTCGTTTCGAAGCTCTCACGGAGGAGCGTTTCGCTGTCCACTTTGCGAGTGACTATAATGCCCGCGTTGTTGATCAGCACGTCCAGTCTGCCATGCTCGGATTCTACTAGGTCCTTCGCGGCAAAGATGGACTTGCGATCGGTGACGTCGATTTGAATAAGCGAGATGCTGCTCTTCAGAGAGCTGTCATGGGAAGAATAGATCTCTTCTAATGCCTTCTTGCCCTTATCAAGGGATCGACTCCCGAGCAGTATGTGATAATTCGGTGACGTTTGAGACAATGCGATAACAGTCGCGAAGCCGATTCCGCTATTCGCACCTGAGTTATTGTTTAACGCTCGGGCGAAGAATTTGGTGCAACTGATTGTGACCTACCTGTGATCAAAACAACTGTCTTTGTTGTGTCCATGTTGAGTTGGGAAGCGGGGTCCGGCCAGAAAGAGTAATATAGAGTGGAGAGGTAGAAGCAGATTACTCTAAAGGGCTAGTGAAATGATTCCCGAGACCTTTTATATCTTGAAATATGGAGCACAACACATGAGAACCCTGTGTTCTTGCCCAATCACATTCCAACAGTCATCCTAATCGAGCGGCGCAGACAGAAGTGCTTATCTTTTGAGTTTCGGCCAATCAGATTACTATAATAGGAATTGTAGTCGGACCTTTCGGTAAACCGAAACAAGATGCCAGATGTAGCTGTCATTGTCATTGTCATTGCTTGTGTTGGGCGCTTGCAAGCTAGTCCCCTAACTAGATAGTCTAAGAATTTGCACCTTCGTCGAGATATCATGGTTTGTTTAAAAAGAAAGGGGGGACTCTGAGGGGAAAAGAGCAGCGAGGACCTTGGCAAGTGCCGCTTGACCCGGGGGGTTTAGGTTGGGAGGGGGAGGCCGTATCACTGATATTATAAGCTTTCAATTTTTCGCTATTTATTAAGGTGAATAGATAATCTGTAGAGCTTGTCTTTAAGATCTAACTCCTCTGGGATGATAAAAGAGATTTCTTTTAATAGAATCATGTCTTGTTATCATGATATTGGACGGGCAGTGTTCCAGGCACCTACCAGGCACATACCCGGCCCCGACAGGTGTCTCACGGAACCTCTAGCGCACGGACCATAAGGAGGAAAAGGATAACCTTGCCACACTGGACGGTATCTCAGAAAGACACGCATGAAGCTAGTCAAGCCAATGCATGGCCCTCAAATTTGCAGTGTGCGGGATTGTCAGGGGAGGTTCGATGCATGCTTCACTTACCCCGGATTTGACGCCCTAGAGTGAGACTAAATTGAATGATAAAGCTTATTACACGCGCCATTTCTACATCTGTCTCCTAATCCCCTTCGCCACATCATCCAGTGGAGAAGTTTTGTAACGACCTTTGCCAAACTGTTCAAAATTAAATGTGACTCAAACAGATATGGAAATTGGTCAAGTCCCTTCAACCGCTCCAGAGCGTAGTAGCGATGTTATCCATGCAGAGTTTCTAGATGATGACGCTCAATCTCTCAATGAAGTTGCCCTCGGCGATAAGTAAGCCATCCTAATCATCGACTACTTAGAGGTCTAGAAAAACTAATCCAAAGATCACTAGTCTTCCACCAGGCTACTTCAAGAGTGTCCAATTCATTGGTACGGTCTTAGCATTGACATTTGGAGCCATATCCTCATATGTCATATTCGTAATGGCAACCAATGTCCTGTCCTATACGAATGCTGACATCGGTGAGCATCTCCTCCCCTAAGGCCCAGCATATAATGTTCTAGCATGCTGATACTCTCAACGTTGAAGGCCCAAGTCCAGACATAGCCTGGGTCAGCATCGCGAGAACGTTGGGACAGTCATTCATGTATCTGATTCAAGGTCGACTCTCTGATCTTTTTGGACGACGATGGTTTTTCGTTGGTGGCAACGCGATTGCACTCGTAGGCATCATCATTGGCGCAGTCTCCCAGAATGTGCCAACCTTGATTGTCGGCAATGCAATTTATGGGGTAGGAGAGTGCATCCAGGTTTCTTTCGGCGTTGCTATCGGCGAGTTGGTTCCTAATCGTGACCGTCCACTAATCATGTCGATCATATTCGCCGCTTGTGCGCCATTCTCAGCTTTTGGTCCAACAATTGCTCGAAAATTCATTGCACACCCGAATCTCGGGTGGAGATGGTGTTATTACTTGGGCATGATTTTGGTCGCAATCACGATTGTGCTGTTGTACTTCTTCTACCACCCACCAACTTTTCACATGCTTCACGAGAGGAAGTCTAAACGAGAACAATTGAAACAACTCGATTATGGCGGAATGTTCTTGTGGACTTCCGGGCTGCTCTTGTTCTTGATGGGTCTCAGCTGGGGTGGAGGGGTGAGTTCATATTTCAAGCATTGGTCGTCCCCATGCCAGGATCATCCTGCTGATCGTACGATGATTGTTAGCTATATCCTTGGAAGTCTGCTGCGGTGATATCCGCACTCGTTCTCGGCTTCGTTATTCTAGTCACTTTTGCCTGTTGGGAAGGCTTTGCCAACCTCAAATATCCTGTTATGCCGCTTAGCTTCTTCAAGAATAGGGGCTATATCAGTTTGGTAGCATGTGCTACGGTTGCTTCCATGTTTTACTACTCGGCTGTTCTTCTCTGGTGAGATTGTTTTCTGCTTACATGCTTACTGGATACGTTGGCAAATCCTCTGCCGCATCAGCGCTAATTTGGACATCACTAGGCCTCAGCAAGTCACTGCCATGTACACAACTGACGTTCAATACGCGGGATGGTTATCCTGTACTGTCTCTGCGAGTACATCACTCGGTCAAGCAGTGGCCGGCGTCATCGTTCGTTGGGGCGGCAACTCTCGGTACTGGATTATTCTCGCATCATTTGCGATGGTAGGCTTTGTATCAGCGTTGGCATCACTTACACCCTCGACGAAAGACATGGGTATAGCATTCACTATTATTGGTCCCTTCTGGGTGGGCTTTATAGAATTGACGTCGCTTGCTCTGGCACCTCTTTTCTGCAAGCCTGAAGACATTGGTCTCGCTAGTGGAATGTTAGCATCAATTCGCTCAGCTGGCGGTTCTATTGCTGTCGCCGTCTACACTACGATCTTGACGAATAGACTAACAACTACTCTTTCATCGACAGTTGGGCCCGCCGCGGTCGAGGCAGGGCTGCCAGAGTCCAAAGTCGCTACTCTTGTGGCTGCCGTTAAAGCGGGGACATGGACGAAGTTACCAGACATCACGGACGCCATTGCAGCCGCCGTGAGATCTAATATCCCATCAGCCTATGGACAAGCTTTTAAAACTGTTTATCTAGCAAGCTTGGGCTTTGGAGGAATTGCTATTATCGGAGGTCTATTTACCAAGAATGCTCGCAAGCACCTCACTAGTCAGGGTATGTCACTTCTAGCTTTCTTCGGATTCGTTGGCTTGATAATGTTCATTCACTAATTCAATGTGCACAGTGGCTCGACGAATGCATGGGAAAGCTATTGGCGGCATGGAACTTGAACAGCACACGAAAACGGTTGAGGCCTGAGCATTGTCACCGTAGACTGACAATGTCTTGTACAAACAGCGACCTGTACCTTCACAGAGGTTCCAAGAAGAGGTTGAGGAACTCGCATTTTGACTGTCTTTAGTGAACAAATTGGGTCAAATTCGATTAGTGGGTCAATTCATAGAAACAAAGCCGCTTGTATCATCTACATCAACTGTGATTAGTGATAGTCTCTTGACGTAGCATGATTAACAATCTGGTAGTGCATCCCGAGCGCTAATCGTCTTGTGCAACACAAGGCATTTCATGAACTTGTGACATCTTCCACCTAGAACCAGGGAACCCATGGCCGACAGCGGTCAGCAGCGCAATACCCATTACAGCAAAGCCCCACAAACTGCCCGTTGGAATCATAGCATTCACCTAAAAGGGTTGCCAGTTAGACTTCTGATGTTCCGAGCACGAAGTTTGCAATTTCAAAACGCTATCAAAACCTCGCTTACCATAGATTGGAACACAGGTACCGAAACAACTGACCGAAGTGATCGCTTGTGGAGGTCCGATTATAATCTGATTTATGGGCTGAGGATCATTGCTGAGACTCGAAACAAGTGTGGCGTCTCCTTCCGTCTCGAAAGTGCACGCGGTATAGGCGTTATAGTCCGGAGCATCAATATGATCAACGTTTAGCGGATTGCCTAAGCAAGATTTAGAAATATACGCCAGCTCTTGAAAGTAGTCCGAGACTTACTAGTGTAGTACTTTTGACCATCCGCTGGGAAAGTCATCTCATACCGAGCTGCTGCCGCATGGAAGATAAGGTGAACGGACTGGAAGTCTCGTTCGTCCACAGTTGGATGACCGCAGACGGCGTTCAAAAAGACGGTCAACAAGGGCACAATTGTTTTCATGGTAGATTCTTGAAACAGTTTTTGTCGAGTCTATCAGTGTTAACACAACTCAATTACGAATTACGCGTAGGCGAGAGTCCGCAGATTCGATCTTATATGATTAGTATAAGAACGTAGGATTGCATGTACCATCAAAAGCTCGTCGAACTTAGTTGCCGTGGTACCGTGATGTGGCATCGCCTGCAGAATACGAGAGTCGTTCCGCATGAGGTTCAAGATAGTCATACCAACTCAACAAACCGTATCGACCCGAGTCAAGCTCAATCGTCGAGTAATTTCGTTCGGTTTTGTGCTGATGGCTTGGCAGCTGAGCGGTGTGCCAATCAGCCATGACACCAAGTCTCTCAGTCTGCCGTGCTCTTTGTACGGCTTTAGGGGCCATCTTCACACACATGTGCAGATCTTTGAACCACATGATCTCGTAGCGGGTGCACTAAATCTGTCCTACTTAAAAATAACACTCTCACTATCAGCACGGCACAATGACCCTCCGTGTGACATCGCAACTAACCTCTAACATTTTGTTGTCCCTAAGATTTCATAGAGTGACCAAATCAAGGCAGAGGAACCTTATCTCATGCGGGATATCAAAAGTCACAAGATATATTTGACGATTAAAATTAACTCCAATGACGCTCCATTTAAGGGACTATCATCTTGTTCACCGCCAGTACGGCATCCGCCTATACGGTATTCGCAGTTGTCCGAGACAATGTTGTGGAACATAGCCCTAGTGCATTTTGTGCTATTGAATGATTCACGATAAAGACTTAGTAGGGAGCTTTAGCGTCATATCTCCTCCTCGTACTTTGTCTCCAACTCAAGTCAAAGTAAGAAACACCACAGGACCAGATAGCCTTCATGATTGCATAATCTTACTGAAAATATGGAGGTGCACTTCTAGCCACCCATTCGGTCGCTGCGTAGCGTACATATCATCTTTGTGCGTCAATCCAAGGGAACTGTCTAGCGGCCAGGCAAATTCTCTAATTATTTTGGAGAT